TGACGGCCCGCGAGAGCTTCGCGGCTGCTGCCAAAAAATCCACCTTCAAACGTTTGGCGGATGGGTTTGTCGCGGGCAGCCCGAGCGATGCGTGTGCGACACATCTTTTTTCGTAATCGTCAAAGAGCGCAGCGCATGTTGACGAAGCTAGCTTGTGTCTGCTTTTCCGTTTCATTCCGTGCAAATTCCTAGACTTTTTCCGTTTCAACAGTCGTTCGCCAAATTCGGGAGACGCAATTTCGCGCCACTCAAGAAAACCCTCGCGATGTCGCATTTCCCACACTCGTCGTTGCTACAGTAACACCTGCCCCCCTCCCTTGTCTTCGTCCTTCTTCTGTCTGAAGATTTAGGCCCCACGAGTCGCTGGATTGTTCATTTTCTTCGTAAATTCGTTCGTTCATCCCGGTTGAGTTCGACACGAATCCAGCTGTCCCTGCCCTCCCCATTTTGCTCATTCGTTTCCGTGGCTACCCGCGCAACTTTCGGCAAAGGTGAGCGATCACTGGGCGACTTTCCGAAGCTGAATGAAAGAATTTTAGCTGTTTGCGACTCTCCCAAGGGTTGTCAGTCCCGTGGGGGCGTTGTTGTGGATCGCATATACCGTCGCCCGCCCTCTGCGGAGCATTTAGGGATCGAATTTCTGACGGTGTGCGCTTCCACCGGGAACATTTCCAACTCCACATTCCATCTTTCACCCATTCTCATCACCGCACCTCAAATCCCGAATCGGCCGATTCCCGTCACTTCGTTCTTTGCCGCAAGTTCAGCCGCGTTTGACGGTCGTCCTGTCAACTTATTCAGCAGAGTTCCCTAGGATTGCTCTTTTTCCCACGCGAGCTGCACGTTGTTGGAAGCTGAAATTCGCGATCCACTAGGTGCTTCAAACGTCTGCCGTTTTCATTATCTGGCAGCTCTCTCGAAGTTCGAGCATAGAGACAACTGGGAGTGACGAGCTGCGTCTCGCGGCTCTTCTGGTACTAAAATTACGACACCGAGTTTCAACAGATGACGAAGATGCTGTGGCGGATAAGCTGGTCTCTGTCACTCGCGCTCCTCCTCGGTACGGTTACGTATTTGTTGAAACGTCATCAGCTCCCGCTGTCTGTCATTTCTCAGCCCTTGTGTCTTTCATTTCCGTCTTCGCACGTCCCGTCCCTCATTACTCACCATCTCCCCGCTTCTTACTCCCCGCCTCTTCGTGGCTTACAATTCCGCCTCGCCCGTCCTTCTCCTGCGAATCGTCCGTGCAGTGTCGCTAGTCAAAGGCTTGTCGCACAGCAACCCACCGACGAATCTCATCCTCAATGGAGACATGGAAGAACCCGGGGTTCGCGGCGAAGCAAATGTCGCAGGCCCGCTCACGCGCCGCCACAGGAAACGCCTACCCTCCGCATGGCATCTAGTTTCCGGGTCGATTAAGTACGTGCGGCTCGAGCACTGGCCCGCAGCCTCCGGCGATCATAGCGTCGCTCTCAACGGCCACGGGCCTGCGACTCTCGCGCAGCGTGTGGTAACCCGACCGGGCGAATTCTACTTCGTGCACTTCGAACTCACTGGGGACCCTGGTTTGGAAGACGAGGGGGCCGTGCGATCGCTGCGGGTGAGCGTGATGGACGAGGAAAGTGGGGCTCCAGTTACCGCGCGAACATACGAATTCGACACGTTTTCGCACGGAGGTGCGGAAGAGGCGAAACGCAGTCGCGAAGGGATGGGGTGGCGGTCGCACACGCTTGCGTTCGAAGCACCTGGCGCCGCGGTCACTCTGCTGTTTGCGTCGACGACTCCCGGAATTCACGGTCCCGTTATTGACAACGTGCGAGTGCACAAGCAAAGTGAGTCCCGGCTCCTCGTCCTCCAATAGTTATATCCGTGAAAAATTCATGTTATGTCCTCTCCGTCTCGCCTCCTGTGCTCTCTCTCCCCTCCCCTACTCCCAAAAGTTTTCTTGCATCTGCGCTTTTCGTTTTGCCTATGCGTCTGGATCTTTTGGTCACCCACTGTCATATCCTGCTCTTCGTCCGACCTATCCCATTTATACCCTGGCAGATGCCACGTCAGCGTTCCTCCACTCTCCAAACACGCTCTACCATTCCCCGACCATCGACACTGTGGGACCCGCCGCCACCCCCGAGGCGTGCGGGCGACGCTGCCTCGAGATCCCCGACTGCCGCGGCTTCTCTATTGACATCCCCGTTCCCGGTTTAAGCGACGGTTCGGTACAGTGCCATTTGAAGATGCATATGAAGAAACCATCCGTGGTAGGGCAGAACCGAGCGGACTCGTACGTTCTGAAGCGCGCCGAGTGCTCGTTTGGGCACAGTAACGCGGTGCAATGTCCGGACATGCTGCCTATATCGGGGATGCTGCCCATGGCGTGTGTTGCGCACAAGTCGGCGAAGCGCCAGACAGAGCACCCCTTCGCCGGAACCTGCAAGGCGCTAAAGCGGACGAATCTATGCCCTTACGCGGGTGGTTACTTCGCTAAAGGGTTCGGTAATATCGGGAGCGCGGACGACTACAGGCGGTGTTCGTGCGTGGAGGGATCGGGAGGAATCGCGCGGTTGCAATGCGGACACGTGGTGTAAGCGCGGGAGATGTCGGGAACCCTGGAAGAGGAGGGGAGGAGGAAGGGGGGTGGAAGAAGGAGGAGGAGGAGGAGGAGGGACTGGGAAGCGGGAGCGGAGCGTGAAAAGGATCGGGGGACTGGCGACTGCAGATCAAGCGCAAGGCGAAGGACTCATAAGTGATATGCAGAATGCAGAGACCGCAGGGAGGGGTTAACAGGGATTAGGAAAGATGGATATGCGTTCAGCTTCCGTGAAGATACCAGGAGACGATGGGAGCTGGTCAGCTGGTTAGTCCACCGCCGTCCACGATTTGAAATGTGTCGATGCAGCAGCACCTTGACAGGCCTGCTTCCTCACCCTCCTTCCTCTGCTTCTCTCGTTGACCAATCCGCAGTCAGAAGCGGCAGGGGAAGAAGAAGAAAATACCAAGCAGCGGGAGGGGAAGTGGGGAAGCCAAAGGTAAGCCGGAGTCCCCCTTCCAGAAGAAGACAACACCCAAATACTAATGAAATAAAAGATACTAATTGTTTGTTCATGCACAACGGCGAGGAACAAACAGAGGGATTTAGGACGTGGACGTGTCATTATCTTTTCTAGGAGGGTAGGATAGGAGTAGGTGATTTAGTGTGCTGTGTGCACACTATATGGAGCAAACTTTGTGGTGATTTGGAATAATGCATCTCAATTCTTAGATTACCCATACATCTCCCATTCTTGCAAAACATGCAAATTTACAATGCTAAACAGTCAAGAAGCCCTTGGTGCATGTCAGACTTTGACTTTCTAAGTAGGCACGATTCACGCCCTCTTTCACCCCCTCCAGAAGAACTACAGACTGCGAAGAACCATAGCTATTTTGCACTATACTTGGATAAGCATGGCATACTAAGCCAGCTCATCATGGCTTTCCCGCTGCGTCGTCTGCACCTGTCACTGGCATCTCGACTTCCATTGCTACTACAGCTGCTACCACTACCCCTGCAGCACGTATCCTTGCTTCTCCCATATGTGGTAGTTGGGCTGCTGCTGCTGCTGCTGCTGCTGCTGCTGATACTGCTGCTGCTGCTGCTAGCATTGCTGCTGCATTTCTTGCTGCCCTGGCTTGGATTCTTCAACCTTCTCTTGCTGCAAGGCTTGAGATTGTCTCTACACTGCTTATATTGGATCGTCTGATACAATAGGGCGTCGTTTAGCATGCTCTTTAGCATGTCATCTGCCACCCACATGTCGTACGCTGATTGGTGGATGAGTCTTCGCATACCAGCTAGTTGCTCTTCACTCACAGCTTCGCGAACATCTGTACATTAAGGAGGAGAAAAAAAATCGTTAGATGATTTCATCAATAGTATACAGACAGACTGAGGCACAAAACTTACAGTAAACCATTCAGAGCAGAGTAATCGATCAAGCCGCACAGACAGAAAGTCGTACCTTTTGGGGAAACCTCAGCGAATCCGTGCAGCGCATGATATCCGTCAGGCTGTCGCCACTCCCTGTCGCACAGGTTGCTAGCTGCGCGAAATTTCACTTCACATCGCGAAGTTTTTGCGGGCCTCGCTGTGTCGTTGGTGACGTCGCGTGCGAATGCTGCAGCGTGATTTTCTCGCCATTCGATGACTCGTCGCATGGTGGCGTCGCCAGTAGTCGCATGAGAAACCCCCATTCCCAAGAGCGTCGAAGTTTTGCTCCCGTCCGGAACAGAATATAAAACTGAACCTCGTAACGCGCGCCTCGTGCTCGATTTCGTGTAAGGAAGGACAACGATAGTATCAGTGCTTGAACGGTACTAAAGGCGTATCTGTTTAAATCGGAAAATCAAGGGAGATGGAGCAGGAGGGCGATAATATAAAATGCTCACGGACCAGACTGAATAAAATGCTGCCGAGGAGGCAGACGAAGCAAAGGAAGCAGATGAAACGACGTGCACAGGAAGCACGGATGAATGAGAAGCTTCATCGCGATTCGTCGATTGCCTTGGCAATGGGTGTAATCAAAGCAGATTCGTGAAAAAAGAACGCCAGTGGGTGTACTGGAAGACGAGGTGCTGGATCAAAGGAGACAACGAGGAGGTGAGGTGGGCTTGGAAGAAATGGGACGAGGGAAATGATGGAGAATGGTGGTTCACCCTAACATTTTCCTGGTCTCCGGGCGGCAATATTTCAGAACTGTACTGTAATTTCCTGGTTTTGCGATTTTCCTTGGTGGAGGGTGGGCCTAATGGCAGACTGCTTTCTTACCACACAAATTTGGCATTTGGGACCCTTTTTGCGGCCTCCCACAGCCGTCCAAATGATGTGGGTTTTACATCGATGTGATGCGAGTGTGGTGATGGGCTGGGGGGCGGTGTCATTCCTTGTCCGTGCCTCCGCCGGAGTGAAGTGCTCGATGTCCTCCACTGCGCTTGAGATTTTCTGAGGTTGAGACCTTAATTTTGACTCTTCGGTAAGTGACATCAAACAGGACTTCATTGTGGACTGCTTTTTGGAAAGAATACCGGCTTCATATAAGAGTGTTATCGGAGTTTGATGCTCGGTACCGATTAGAAAACATTTGCTGCCTTGATGTGGTGTTCGCATGCATGGTTTAGTAAAGTGCAAGACATCAGTGGCGCAAATCTGAACGCACTTCATTGCACTTGGCAGATCTGATAATTGGAGCTGGGGCAACGTGTCGGGCGTGTAGGACGCGGTGCATGTTTTCATTTTTCCAGGATCTAGGGAGGATCGATGCCCATACACCGATTCTCCCACATCGATCGGCACACCGATGTGCACAGATATAAATTTTGCAGTGTGGTAAACACGCCGAGCCTTAGGACGTGGTGCAGATCGGGACGAGCTGAGGCTGATTGCCTCGATCTCCCAAACCTTAATTTCTGAGAAGTTCCAGAGGATACTTTTGGGCAATCGAGGGCAATCTGCCGATTGCAATCGAGATCGCAATTGATTGTGATCGATCTCCTCGATCTGATACAATCGATTGCAACCGTTTGCCAACGATAGATTGGGTATTTTGACAATCATGCGCGAGTTGTAACCACTGTCGCTGACGTTCGTTTCTGCTCGCTGCTACATAAAATATTGTGACAGTCGACAGTCTAATGAGGCTACCCTGTAATTGCGCGATACATACTGTCGCTTAGTTTCACCAACTTTAAGGTGGAAGGGACATACAACTATCATGGAAGGCGCGGTTAAAATTCTGCTCTGTTTCGAAGAAAAACATGCGTCAGATCGCGCGACGTGGGAAGCGATCGATGATTGCGTCAGATCGGAGCAATCACCCCCAATCGATTCCGATCTGATCCAATCGACCACCGATTGCGTGAGATTGAGGCGATCTGCACCACGTCCTTAGGTGCCAGGTTCGAAATTGCTCGTTTGGGCGGGTAGGTCCCGCAGCGAAATACACTAACGAATTAGTCGTTAACCATTCAGAGCGAGAAAAAGCCTGTCGTTATCCAATCATTATTGGTCTGCGACCATGGGCGACACCGATCGATCGCGTCTGTTACCTGTGGCGCAGTGTGCTCTCCCGCCAACCCAAACGCACGATCGATGTGTGCATCACGGCACATCAATCGTGTGAGTTGCAAGTGCCACCATTTTGGGTACCCGTTTACTGTACATTCTCGACGTTCTGCGAAAAACGGATACCAGACATTGGCGAAGTCGTGAAATCACTGTACAAGCGGCACATCGATCCCTACCCACGATCGATCGTGGCAAAATAAAAACAGGTGCCGCGTCTTTACGGGATGTCGAGGGAACGTGAGAAGATGAGGGCAAACAATGCTTCACCACAAGCTCTATTCGAAGTGTAAGGACGCAGCATCTGTTTTTATTTTGCCACGATCGATCGTGGGCGAGGATCGTTGTGCCGCTTGTACAGTGATATTGCGACTTCGCCAATGCCTTTATCCGTTGTTCTTTAGAGCGTCGAGAATGTACAGTAAACGAGTACCCAAAATGGTGGCACCTGCAGCTCGCACGATCGATGTGCCATGGTGCACACATCGATCGTGCGTTTGGTTTGGCGGGAAAGCACATTGCGCTACAGGTGACAGACGAGATCGATCGGCGTCGCCCACTATCGCAGAACAGCAATAATTGGATAACGACAGTCTGTGCCTTGCTCTGAATGGTTAACGACTATTTCGTTAGTGTATTTCGCTGCGGGACCTACCCGCCCGACCCAGCTATTTCGAACCTGGCACCCAAGGCTCGGCGTATTTACCACACTGCAAATTTGATGTGTGTGCACATCGGTGTGCCGATCGATGTGGGAGAATCGGTCTATGTGCATCGATCCTTCTTCGATCCTAGAAAAATGAAAGTAATTTCTTATTGCGTCCTAAGTGTTAGTGTAGTGTTCATGAATTTCTTATTGCTAAAAGTAATTTCGCACGCCTGATGACATTTTACGAGTCACTTCGTATGACATTTACTTGTGAGGCCAACCTAAAGAGCTGTCCGAAGTGAAACATCGACTTCCGTTGACATCCGTTTGGGGATGTCGGTGCATGTCAGCCCTCGGATAGAAGATTTCGACCGTCAGGATTCCCCGACATCCGCAAACCAGGGCTGACGTTTCGTTTTAGGCCTCCCTGATCCCGGGGAAAATTTTCCTCCTCTATTATGGTGGCACATTTTTCACAAGGTAGCTACTCTGAGAGCTCTGTGTCAGACAAAGTCCTACCCTGAGCCGACAGGGTTCACAGCTCAAAATCAGGGTTGCTATTAACAATGCACTACACTTCAAAATGAGTGATACAACAACTCTCCTACACTATCTAGTGCACGGCTCTGTCAATGTGGAACACCTCCTCCACATGATCATCGTCAGACAGGAAAGGATTGTCCTCCGCTTCCTCCTCCTCCCCCACGATCTCCTGATCGTCGCCAAAGTCCTGTTCCACTTCATCGTCCTCCTCCTCCTCGCCCTCATCCTCAATCTCCCCGGCAATTCCAGCAGCCACATCTTCACCCTCTTATTGCTTCCCCTTCCTCTCCCTCTCTGCCACAGCCAGCTTCAGGCTCTTCGCAGGGCGCCTCCTCCGCATGGACCTCCACACCTCTAGTGCCTACGGCCAGTCGATCTCGTACTTCAGGAGCGAAATCTGCATCAGCTCCCCCAGACGCGCGTTGCACAGCGCTCCACGCACCCAGGACTTGATGACGTTCTGCCTGGAGAACCCCCTCTCGCACTCCACGGTGGAGAGGGGGAGCACAGCCAGCGCCTGCCACAGCAGGATGAGGTTGGGCCATCTCCTGCCAGACACATCCAAAAACACAACGAATAGTTAGGGATTACAAATCCTGAAGTAATCAATCATGTACCCAAGCAGTGGGTTACCTCTTTGAGTCTGCGCTCCCAAGAAAGTTGGAGAGGCCCTGTGCGAAGCTCTCCATCTCATGGTGAGTCTCCATGATCGCGCAGAACGTCGGGAGCTCCCTCTCTGCTGCTTTGAGGTCGAATCCCGGCAGCTTGTTGCGGAACAGCCTGCTGCATCCGTGCAGCCACTCCTTGCACTTCTTCTCTCGCTGGGCCTTGATCTTCGGAACAGCTTCGTCGGGCCCAGCTTCCCAAGGTCATCCAGCCTATCATTGAGGTTGTCCACGCAGTCGCGGGCGAATTGGCGGCACAACTTCACGCAGTCTGCGTAGGTACTTCCCTGCTTGTGGCCCTTCAGCTTCCTCTCATGTATGGTGTAGAGGTGGTTGACCGGGCGTCCATCTCCATCCACGCCTCGCACCCGGACCTGCTTCCCCTCGCCCCCGAAAGCTTTGTTTGTCGTCAAGTAGCGCCCCGTCAGGTCACCCGTGGTGGACTCAATCGTCTTCGCAATCTCAGTCACATCCATCTGTCACAGAGCAGCAATAGACAACATGGAGTCGGATTAGTCTCTAGTGTAGGATTAAGCCTCAGGTTCCAACAACATAGTAGCATTCTTAACTTACCTCACGCCTCTGGAAGCAGCAGCGGTTGAGGTCGTTCATGTCAGCCAGAATGTCGGCCAGGAAAAACAAACAAAACTGAAACTTGTAGCACGTCACAATCTCGTAGGCCTTGTGGTTGTGCTCCCAGAGCAGCACGATGCAAGCGCCGAGGACCTTGCACAGCCTGCCCACAGCATCACCTCGTGACAACCACCGAACCGTGTGGATGCCTTGGACTTCGAGGTTAGTCTTGTAGATCACTTGCTGCAAGTACTTGAACCGCTGACTCCATACGCTTGAGTTTCTGAGCAGCGTCGCCACTGTGCGCACCACCTTATCGACCATGCCTAGGTCCGGGTTTGAATCCGCGGCGTCCTTCACAGCCAACGCCTCACTGTTGGAAGCAGGGAATAGAAATCAGGAGTAGGTAGTACAACCATATGTGTACAAAACCGGCCCGAAAACAGACCAAGGTACACACCGGTGGGCGATGCAGTGACATGAAAACAGGTGCGGAACGTGTTCCCGAAGCCGCGCCACCAATCCGTTCTCTTTCCCTGTCATGACCGACGCCCCATCAGTGCTGATGCCGACGATCTTGGACACGTCGACGGCTGCACAGCGGAGATGGTTCATAAGCACCCTGCATCAAACCGCTCAACCGTCAGCAACGTAAAGAACTCGCATCCGATTTTGCGCTCCTTAAAAAACGTAAGGTACACAATCATGTGTTTCCCTCGCGTTCGGTCGGTGCTCTCGTCGCACTGGATGCCCTGGAAGGGTGATGCCAGGATGTGGTCCATCTGCACCCGCGTCAGGTATGTACTGATGCTGTGAACCATCTGCTAGAAGCCGTATCTGCGAGGTGGTAAATGAAATGGTAAGGAAATTTTTGACAAACCACGACAAGCAACATTCTTGGGGCAGCAATCACACAATATTATTGATTACCGTGTTTGATAGACGCCGTAAGATTGTCGAGGAATGTCTGGCGTTTCCTGCTCCGCAAGATGTCGCATCAGCTTCGGAAACAAGCTGATCGGCGCGTCGCACAGGCACAAGAACTGCTAGACCGCATGAGACGAATCGCGCGCCGACCCTCGACATCGGAGTTGATGAAGTGCGAAATCACCTGCTGCCCCTCGCGGATGCCGGCTGCAATCTTCAACTGCCGATCAACCGCCGCCGTGTGTGCGTCCGTATGCTCGTGCGCCTTGAAGGACTGCGTCTGCAAGTCACGGCCACCGTCATCACCTTGCATGGCGTACCTCCTGTTCCCCTTCCCGTACGACATGCAGGTGCTGCACTTCACGTATGGAAAGCCGTCCTTGGTTTTCCCAAACACGAGCCAAGAGAAGGCACCCGACCACTTCGTCTCGTAGTTTATACTCGCGTCCAGGTACAACTGCTCTCGCAGCTGCGCCTTGGTGAGTACGGGCGAGCCGGTATCCGCGCGCACAGGGATGTCAACTTCGTTTGGCAGCTCAGCTTCTTTCGATGGAGGTTCTGCCGGCTTTCCAGGCGGTGGAATACGGCGGCCTCCGACGACCAGAGTACTCTGCGCCCACTTCCCAGATCGCGCACGCTTGGGAGTGGAAGAAGCCGACGGCGGGCCAAGGGACACCCGCACAGTGCTTGGAGTGGGAGTAGGCGAGGGCGGTGGGGGATCTTTGCTGCAAGAAGCAACAGCCGGGGGGAGGGTGAAGGCTACAGGACGAGGAGAATCAGTAGGACTAGGGGCTATTATTGCTGCAGAGTCATGAACGGTAGACCTAGGAGGCTCTGGTGTGACCGGAGCAGCGGTATCTCTAAGAAAATCGAGCCCAGACCGGGGAGAATCTGATGCTTTCTCTGGCTGGGCTGGCGCTGTCGGTTTCTCCGGTAAAGGTGGCTCGTCAGGGCCACTCGGAGGAGCAGCTTCGTCGGCCGGCAGGCCCTCCATGGCGGCGAGAAAGATGAAAGATTGAGCGAGAGGGACGTGAGAGATTGAATGCACGAAATGGAAAGAAAACTGCTGGAAGCGAAGCAAGCCTAGCAGTGGGTAGGGGGAAGGAAGGGAAGGATGAAGATGGTGGGGTCATCAGGAAACCACCGCGGCGCGACACCACACATTTGATGGCAGCATTCGTCGATGAATTCGGCCTTGCATTCAAGGCCGAATTCATTCACAGACTGCTGGGCTGCCACCGCATACTGTCAACATGCGTTGCTAGCGAATGGCAGAGGCATGCTGTGCACTGCGCGGTGCGCGTGGCAGCATCAGAACATTGATTTGCGTGCGTTGTCACCGTTGCCAGCTGTGCTGTACAGCAGAAGTTGGAAGTTTTTGGCGGTATTACGTCATTCCTGCGCGTGAACGGGGTACCTCACATGGGGGCACGCGACGTACTGATTATGCACAAGGGGGGGTTATCGAAAGGAAAGTTCGAAGAACCTTCGTCCCGATACCCTCGCATTCAGGGTCCACGGATCGCATACTCTACATAGGCAGAGTCTGCAACTACACTACATTGAGCCTAGTTACAAGATTTCAGAGTTCGTAAAGTAACTTATCTGATTGGATCAGAGTTCACAAGTTTAAAAATCTGAGATTGCAGGGACCACCAAGTGAGAAGCCTGTAATCACCCCGAAATCAGGGTAATTACCTTGATAAAATCAGCCCTGCCGCAAACGGATGTAGATGCTTCACTTCGGACACCCCCTAAAGGATGTGTGACGTGTCTTAGGGCGTATTCCTGGATTCGAGTCAAGATTGAGTGAGGTCAACAATAATTTCGGAACACACATAATTGGCCCGTTGTGATTTTTGGGCAAATCATGTGAGTTCTCAGGTTCTAGGTTGACACCAACCCAAATTGACACGAATATAAAAATGCACCCTCAAATTTGACAAATCCATATTGTTTTGAACTTGACTTTGTAAGAGGGTGTCTCAAATCCTTCGGTCCACCCTGACTCTATGCGGTTGATGGGGACCAGTCCACCAAACCATTTCGGACCCAAGCGCGGACCCGCTCCCTGAGCGAATGTGGACCGTGGGTGTAGCAAACCAGCACCCTCGTTTTAGCGGGCGAAAGTGACTATAATGGGGAGGATCCCCTGGTTCGGCGAGCCGGTCCACGTCGGACCCATGAACATTTATAGTAGTGGCGAACAGTCACGAACTCACCTCGCTCCGTCGCAAAACTTGGCAGCATGCGTAAATGTACTGTACAGTCTTGCGTCCTGTTTTCTGGAAAATTTACAGCTACGCTCGCCAACACGCTACTGTAGATCGCATCTGCGGACCCAACAACAATGAGTTCGAAGCTGGTTCACTCGGTTGGTCCACACTGGTCCGTCGTACCAGTCCGGGGTATTTCTGGAGGCATAATTTCAGTGGCGGACCAGTCCGGGACGGACTTGCGGACCTGTCGAAGTGAGACACGTCCTAAGGTGCGATCTGGTGCGCAAAGGTCTAACGCGGTGGACATCGGGAGAATTAGGGCGCGTGTGATCTTTTCTTGTTCGAACTTCCCAAAGTTCGAACTTTCAGAAAGGTTCTACACGGGCCTTGCATGACCGCACCGCACATAGTTTATGGCGTCGACTTCACAACCATCACCAATAGGATTGGAACTTAATTTATGACATCTGGCTCGAAGTCTCATGGTACGACTTTTTAGTATTTTGCAAACAACCAGTGGAGTTGACCGGGATAGAACTATTAGGTACGGATACTTGCCAGGACAGACGCATTCAGGGTGTATGCCAACCGACGAATTCGCTTCTGTAGCAAGCCAGCGCACTTACCGCAAGTAGATTTCTGCGATATATACGAGATTTATATTACACCAATTAAGAACAAATTGGTGGAGTTCTACTTAGCATATAGGACTCGAACCAGGTTCGGTCGAATCCCGGGCGAAGCTGAGATGGACCGAACCCAAACCACATCAGCTTCGGGAAGGACCGGTTCCGGTTCGTCACAATTTGGTCCAGGTTCGGTGGCGTGCGCAGCAGCTGTCGGTCTGGTGGCCGGAGCTCTGCTGCCATTGGTCGGCCGGCAACTACGAGGCGCTCTTGGTGGGTGTGCTGCGAGCCTTCCCTCTAGATTCACTTCCACCTCTTGAGTGTGAGTTTTTCCTCCCTTTTCGCCCTCGGTTTCCTCACTCCCGCTCTCCGTTTCCATCTGACTTCCCTCCCCTTCTTCCTCTACCCCCTTCTCCCTTTCCCTCCCTCTCTCAGCCCTCCACCCTCCCCCTATCCACCCTCCTCCCTCATCCCGCTCCCCCCTGACACCTGCGGCCCTCTGATTAACTTGAACCCCCCTTTTCTTCCCGCCCTCTCTTTCTTCCCGCTCCCTCTCCCTCTTGCCACTTCTCAGGTCGGTTCTTGCCCGTCCCTACTACACAACAACCAGCAGCAGCAGCAGCGGCGGCGGGCGCACAAGCAGCACCCCTTTCACACCAAGCTCCACTCACTCCCTCTCTTGCCCTCCTCAGGTCGGTTCTTGCCCGCCCCTACTACACAACAACCAGCAGCAGCAGCAGTGGCAGCGGCGGGCGCACAAGCAGCACCAGACGCAGCAACAACTACATCGAAAAACATAGATCTGGACCTTGCTGATGTGGCAGTGACGTGGATCCGTCCACCTCACCCTGATTGGCAGGCACCTGAGCGGCTGCTGCCGCCCTTCCCTGTTCCCTCAGCGGCTGATAGTGAGGGTGGGAAGGGCAATGGAGAGGAGGGTAGGAGGGAGGAGGGTAGGAGAGAGGAGGGTAGGAGAGAGGAGGGTAGGAGAGAGGAGGGTAGGAGAGAGAGGGAGAAGGCGGGCGAGGGAGGAGGGGAGGCGGGGGTGGTGAGTGTGCGAGTAGCGGATTGCAGCAGCAGTGTGCTGTATCCTCTCGTTATAAGCACAGTGGTTCCTCGGCCTATAGCCTTCATCTCTACAGTTTCCAAGGTAAGGGTCACAAGGCAAGGTACGAGTTACAAGGCAAGGTACGAGTTACAAGGCAAGGTACGAGTTACAAGGCAAGGTACGAGTTACAAGGCAAGGTACGAGTTACAAGGAAAGGTACGAGTTACAAGGAAAGCGTTCGATGCTGGTAAAGCGTTTGATGCTGGTAAAGCGTTCGATGCTGGTAAAGCGTTCGATGCTGGTAAAACGTTCGATGCTGGTAAAGCGTTCGATGCTGGTAAAGCGTTTTGAAACATCCTGACGCTGCTATTCCCTTCACCCACGCCAGCTCTCATGCTTGCTTCCTATGCCCTTCTCTTCATCCCTTCACCCCCTCCCTCCCATGCTGGTCTCCCCATCCTCTCCATATTGGCACGAGAACCTCTCTCCTTACTCCCACCCATTTGAGCGCCTCGCCTCACAATCCCCCACATACGTGCTCCCAACCTTCCTTCCTCCATTCCAGACTGGTGTGGGAAAACTCTCTCCCCTTACTCCTCTTTCAACGCCTTGCCTCACAACCCTCCCCTCCAATGCACGCGTCCTATCTCCTCACTCTCGTCCTATCTCCTCACTTTCGTCCTATCTCCTCACTTTCGTCGTATCTCCTCACTCTCGTCCTATCTCCTCACTCTCGTCCTATCTCCTCACTTTCGTCCTATCTCCTCACTCTCGTCCTATCTCCTCACTTTCGTCCTATCTCCTCACTCTCGTCCTATCTCCTCACTTTCGTCCTATCTCCTCACTTTCGTCCTATCTCCTCACTTTCGTCCTATCTCCTCACTTTCGTCCTATCTCCTCACTCTCGTCCCTTCACCCACCTCTCTCTCTCCCATGCTGCTCTCCCCCTGCTCTATCCCTGCTCTCCCCCTGCTCTCCCCCTGCTCTGCGTCCAGACTGGTGTGGGGAATCTTGCTCCCTACTCCTATTTCAATGCTGTGGCTCACAACCCCCCCATGCTTGCGATTGGTCATTGCTGGTCCAATGGGAAGTCAAAGGACTCGCTCACAAACATACTCGATACAAGGTGCGATGCCAGCTGTGTGAATTTGTCGTGTTCTTTTTCAAGTTTGTTTGTTCATGACGCCTTAAAGCATGTTGAGATAACCATTCGAAGAAAGTAGCTGAAACGGTCGGATTAATTAAAATGTGGAGCGACCTTTGAGTCGACTAAATAATCACCTTAGGATGCCACCTTGTTGTCGATCAATAGAAGACTGCACATATTCATGGGTGTACTGTTTCAGAGAGCTGGTAGTGGCGCTGATCAGCGATTGGTTCGTGGAGGCAGCCAATCACACGTGCGGGCCGTTTCCCCCCGAGGTGGATGAGATGGGGCTCGCTGGGCTGACCCCCGTGCCGTCTGTCGTGGTGAGAAGAGGGATGTGCGGTTGAGATGCATTGTGCTCTGCTATGGTTCCGTCCCCCCCCCCCCCCCCCCGAAGTGTATGAACTGGAGCGGGCTGGCCTCACCCCCGTGCCCTCTGTTGTGGTGAGAGATGAGGCTTACACTTTGATAAGCTGGTAACACAATGTGCTGTCGTGGTGAGAAGAGGGATGTGGTTGATGTGGTTGATGCACGGGGGTGTGCCGTTCCCCCCCGAAGTGAATGAGATGGAGCGGGCTGGCCTCACCCCCATGGCCTCTGTTGTGGTGAGAACGAGTTTACATTGTGGTGGGGAACAGGCGTTACAACACGCATTGTGGTGGGGAACAGGCGTTACAACATGCATTGTGTCGTATGGAATACTGTTCTTGCTCCACTTCTTGGAATACTGTTCTTGCTCCACTTCTTGGAATACTGTTCTTGCTCCACTTCTGCGTTAGCCCAGTAGTGACGTGGATATGAGAGTTGAAGGAGGCGGGGCGGGCTGGCTGGCCTTATCCCCGTGCTGTCTGCTGTGGTGAGAAGAGGGATGCAGTTAATTCACTGTACCCGAAAGTGACTTTTGAATCGACTCAAAAGTGGCCTTACCCCCATGGTGTCTGCTGTGGTGAGAAGAGTGATGCAGTTAATTCACTGTACCCCGGAAGTGACTTTTGAGTTGACTCAAAAGTGGCCTTACCCCCATGGTGTCTGCTGTGGTGAGAAGAGGGATGCAGTTAATTCACTGTACCCCGGAACCCCTGTGCCTCGTGTTGAGAAGAGGGAGTGTTGCTATTCTCGCCTCTGTGACCCCAGTGATGTTGTTGTGGGAGTCGTTATGTGTTATGTGATGAGGTGCTATATGTTTCTATCCTCACCTCCCAATCGGACAATCCCCACCTCCCACCTCCTACCTGCCCCAGGTGAAGCCTCCCCGTGTGGCTGAGTCAGCAGTGAACATGGAGTGCGTTGTCAGACACACATATGACGTCACAGACAGGTGAGGCCTGATTGTGCTAATGTGTGGAGGGGCGCGTGTGTGGGTATCGGAAAGAAGAGGCAGAAGAGACCGTTGCTGCGTTTGCAACAGAATGCAGATGCAGGGGTGTCAAGGACATGTGGAGGGGCATTCTGGTATGTGTGGGTGTCAAGGACATGTGGAGGGGCATTCTGGTATGTGTGGGTGTCAAGGACATGTGGAGGGGCATTCTGGTATGTGTGGGTGTCAAGGACATGTGGAGGGGCATTCTGGTATGTGTGGGTGTCAAGGACATGTGGAGGGGCATTCTGGTATGTGTGGGTGTCAAGGACATGTGGAGGGGCATTCTGGTATGTGTGGGTGTCAAGGACATGTGGAGGGGCATTCTGGTATGTGTGGGTGTCAAGGACATGTGGAGGGGCATTCTGGTATGTGTGGGTGTCAAGGACATGTGGAGGGGCATTCTGGTATGTGTGGGTGTCAAGGACATGTGGAGGGGCATTCTGGTATGTGTGGGTGTCAAGGACATGTGGAGGGGCATTCTGGTATGTGTGGGTGTCAAGGACATGTGGAGGGGCATTCTGGTATGTGTGGGTGTCAAGGACATGTGGAGGGGCATTCTGGTATGTGTGGGTGTCAAGGACATGTGGAGGGGCATTCTGGTATGTGTGGGTGTCAAGGACATGTGGAGGGGCATTCTGGTATGTGTGGGTGTCAAGGACATGTGGAGGGGCATTCTGGTATGTGTGGGTGTCAAGGACATGTGGAGGGGCATTCTGGTATGTGTGGGTGTCAAGGACATGTGGAGGGGCATTCTGGTATGTGTGGGTGTCAAGGACATGTGGAGGGGCATTCTGGTATGTGTGGGTGTCAAGGACATGTGGAGGGGCATTCTGGTATGTGTGGGTGTCAAGGACATGTGGAGGGGCATTCTGGTATGTGTGGGTGTCAAGGACATGTGGAGGGGCATTCTGGTATGTGTGGGTGTCAAGGACATGTGGAGGGGCATTCTGGTATGTGTGGGTGTCAAGGACATGTGGAGGGGCATTCTGGTATGTGTGGGTGTCAAGGACATGTGGAGGGGCATTCTGGTATGTGTGGGTGTCAAGGACATGTGGAGGGGCATTCTGGTATGTGTGGGTGTCAAGGACATGTGGAGGGGCATTCTGGTATGTGTGGGTGTCAAGGACATGTGGAGGGGCATTCTGGTATGTGTGGGTGTCAAGGACATGTGGAGGGGCATTCTGGTATGTGTGGGTGTCAAGGACATGTGGAGGGGCATTCTGGTATGTGTGGGTGTCAAGGACATGTGGAGGGGCATTCTGGTATGTGTGGGTGTCAAGGACATGTGGAGGGGCATTCTGGTATGTGTGGGTGTCAAGGACATGTGGAGGGGCATTCTGGTATGTGTGGGTGTCAAGGACATGTGGAGGGGCATTCTGGTATGTGTGGGTGTCAAGGACATGTGGAGGGGCATTCTGGTATGTGTGGGTGTCAAGGACATGTGGAGGGGCATTCTGGTATGTGTGGGTGTCAAGGACATGTGGAGGGGCATTCTGGTATGTGTGGGTGTCAAGGACATGTGGAGGGGCATTCTGGTATGTGTGGGTGTCACGGACATGTGGAGGGGCATTCTGGTATGTGTGGGTGTCAAGGACATGTGGAGGGGCATTCTGGTATGTGTGGGTGTCAAGGACATGTGGAGGGGCATTCTGGTATGTGTGGGTGTCAAGGACATGTGGAGGGGCATTCTGGTATGTGTGGGTGTCAAGGACATGTGGAGGGGCATTCTGGTATGTGTGGGTGTCACGGACATGTGGAGGGGCATTCTGGTATGTGTGGGTGTCAAGGACATGTGGAGGGGCATTCTGGTATGTGTGGGTGTCAAGGACATGTGGAGGGGCATTCTGGTATGTGTGGGTGTCAAGGACATGTGGAGGGGCATTCTGGTATGTGTGGGTGTCAAGGACATGTGGAGGGGCATTCTGGTATGTGTGGGTGTCAAGGACATGTGGAGGGGCATTCTGGTATGTGTGGGTGTCAAGGACATGTGGAGGGGCATTCTGGTATGTGTGGGTGCCACGGACATGTGGAGGGGCATTCTGGTATGTGTGGGTGTCAAGGACATGTGGAGGGGCATTCTGGTATGTGTGGGTGTCAAGGACATGTGGAGGGGCATTCTGGTATGTGTGGGTGTCAAGGACATGTGGAGGGGCATTCTGGTATGTGTGGGTGTCAAGGACATGTGGAGGGGCATTCTGGTATGTGTGGGTGCCAAGGACATGTGGAGGGGCATTCTGGTATGTGTGGGTGTCAAGGACATGCTGGGCTCAACTGCAAGATTCATCTTCATTCATGTGTGTGTGTGTGTGTGGGTGGGGGGGGGGGGGGGGGGGGGGGGTGTGGGGGTGTGTGTGTGTGTGTGTGTGTGTGTGTGTGTGCATGTGTGTGTGTGTGTGTGAGTGTGTGTGTGTTTTGGTGGCTTTTACATGTACTTTAATATGCACTCAACCTGTCAGGGATGGAAATGTGACAACAACGATTGTGCTTGTGGAGGTGGTGATGTTCCATTTCTCTGAGCATGTGGTTACACGCACCCCCAACACAGGAAAACTGATTGTTGATCCAGGTCAGTTTCTACCTGTCTATCTATTATTGCTAGTGTTAGCACCTAGATTGAGACCCTATTTAGTAAATTGGAACCTGGTGCATTTCTCCGCTAGCAGATTGTCATTTATGTTCTCCTCACGTTTTTAGTTTTGGTTTGTTTCCACTTGGTGGTACCTTTGTTTGTGTTGCAGCGAAGCTGCGTCCAATGTGCAGACTCGGGGGAAACACGTATGGCTTTGTGTCCCACCTGTTTGACATTGCAAGGCCAGATAAAGATGGCCGGTACCCCTGTCACAAAGGATTTGTGCAAAGTGAGAGGGACAAGATTGTTTCACAATAGGGTAGTGATTTAGTTGCACTTTGAGCAAAGTACCCTGCTCCATATGTAAAGTGACGCACTGTGATAATTTGGAGTGTCCGGACGCAAATGGATCAGCACAAATGTTAAGTATGAAAGGAGATTTTAATAGACAATTTCCAAGCACACGATTCTAATTGGGAAATGCATTTTCTATGCACTGGTGTACATATGCTAAGTTTAGAAGCTCGTGTAGATATTCTTTGGTGTAGATTTGCATTGAACAGTGTCCTCCGACTAGTCCACCTGTGTCAGTGGGTTCTTGCATGCCGCGGCACGCACCGAATGCGCTGCGATTGCCTGCAGCCGAATCGACCGAACTACTGTACAGAAATTGAATTTGAAGAAATGAGGCGAAAGAACGCGTCCAGAAGGCACGTTTCTAGTGGCTAGTCGCTCTCTTCTCAAAGATTGGGTCAGGGAAGCGCTGTTTTGTGCTGCCCGCCGACAAATCTGTCCTGGTTTCACCAGCAACACCTGACAGCCGAAACTTGGGGGGGAGAGGGCGGTGATGGGTCTGCTCCGCACAGGTACACCTCCCAATTCTGCGATTCCGAGGGACGTTTCCCACGAGTTCTACGTGTTTCTGGGCAATATGTTGCAGTTGCCATTTTGCGAAAGTTTAGACGTGCTGCGCACCGACGACTTCGAAAGAGCCGATTGCTAAAAGTCCCCACTGGATTTTGGGAATTCCGCTCACTGTGTAACTGCCTCCTGACCTGAGCGGAAAGCGACAATCGCTCGATTGGGAGCAACAACCGCGCCGACCACAGAAACGACCCCCCCCCCCCCCCCCCCCCTTCATTCCACCACCACCCGCCGCGCACACTGTTTTTCTCCACCTCGTTCTTTCCCTTGACTGGCTTCACTCCGCTGTGACATGGATGGCGTGTGATGTAATGTGATCACTCACCCCGCTGCTGTGTAAGGGAGTGGAATTTGTTCTCATCGCCTCCTGCGGACCCTGGTCTACTCCTTTCCCTCTGCCCGTACTCTCCCACCCACCCCTTCCTCCCTACCCCATTCCCTCCAAACTTTCAACACGCAAATCATAACCAGCCATGCCCTGTAGACCACCTAAAAGAGTTCCCAACCTATCTTAGCCGAGTCAATGATTCCCCTTCTCCGCCAGATTACGGCCGCGTCCCCCCCGGCACGTCAGATGGCCATTTCCTTGTTTGCCCCACAAACTCCTTCCCACCGACCGACCTACATGTATGTACGTACAGCGCAGTAGTGTATCAGCCCTCGAAACTCCTGAAGCACGCAGAACGCGTTTCCAAATCCCAGGTCAGTTCTACACAGCCAGGTCACCTCTCACCCCTCCCCCAACCCCGTCGCTTGCACCCGTGATTGTCGGCTTGTCTCGACGCTCGACTCCTCTAAAGCGTCTACTTTCTCAACTTACCCGCGAATCTAGAGGCAATAGCAATAGCATGCACGTTGTGGCTTGAAGTTGTGGCTGTTTCGATAACAGTGCTATTTTATAGGTCCACACGAGATTCCCCATTAGATGGACGGAAACGGGAAAAACCAATACCACAAAAGAATATTCAATTTGCAAAGAACAGACTACAGATGAGTGAGCGTGGTTGAAAACCAGCGTATTCATTCGAGCCTTAGATTTGCAATAAAATCGATACACTCGCTTCATAGGAAAAAAACAGAATTAGCACGGACATCCAGGAAGATGTCGAAGTGCAAGAAGACACAGAAAATGGTTCGCATATTGTATCTAGAATTTAGTGACTTCTGCAGATCGACTTGGCTGTCGACACAGAAGCGTTTTCGGGCTGGAGGAAAATTTATCTGGTCGGTCCAACTAGAAATATTTCTGGAACCTATTTTTTGGTTTCTACGTTCGGCCGTTGCGCTAGCAGAGCATGCTCTAGCCTCCTCCTGAGTCCTGTCCTGACATGGCCTCGACTCCATTCCACCGTCATTAGCCGCTCAACCACTCACTCTCCACTACCACTGCAGTGCTAGTGCGGTTTTGTGATTGCATTGCAAGCACGAGCATTTAGGGTTGTCCGCCTTGGCTCTGTTTCTTCGCCTGAACACCTCACCGGAAACTGTTGCACTGGTTTTCACAGCGCGGAGCGTCGCTCGCACATTAGGAGGTGCTACCCTAAATCACGGCTCATCTTATGAACGACTGAAGTTCTTCTTTGTTCCCAAGTTTTCAGGCAATCAGCGCATGTGGTACAGTATTTTAGCCCATCAAATACCAGTCTCAGAATCTCCTCAGCATCGAAGCAGAATCAGAAATTCCTCCCGACTTCACCGCATTTGCGCGTCTCCGATCGTAGGAATACAAACTCTCCGGTTAGATAACAGGCAGATACTCCAGTCGTAGCTAGATACCTACTCGCTAGCCATGGCCAGACGGCAAGGCCAGTCTCCCGCGTCCGATCTCCCACCCACGCCTCCGCACGCTGATGACCGTTACCGCGTTAGAGCGGCATCCACGGCGGCCCTCGCGGCATCGTGCTCCGAGCCCGCGTCTTCTCATCCCTCTTCCTCTGTCTCGCCACCCCAAGAAACGTCGCTTCTCGAAACCGCGTCATGTGAACCTTCTTGCCGTGTCTCGGCTCTCATACTAGTGCTTCGTGACGAGATGGACAATAGATCATTCATTGCCTCGTCGCTCCGGCGAGAAGCATCACCCCATGATGAAACGGTGCTGCAAGCCGCATCATATTCTAAGGAACAATCCTCCTCGGAAGCTTTGAGCCCCGGGAAACCAGCCTGGTGGGGTTGCTGTCGATCGCGCATCGACTCCGAGACCCGAGTCCGCCGAGTCGCGAGCCACGTAGGCGCCTCGGAGCTGAGAGATGGGTTGGGAGCGGAAGGAACTGAGAGTACGCGCGAGCAGCGGAGCGATGATCCGCGCGAGCAGCGGAGGGGGAGTGAGGATATGGAATGGACTGATGGTGTGGGAATGGTCGTCGAGCGGGCTTGGAGTCGCAGAAGGGAGTCGCTAGTCGTCGCAGATGCGTCGTCGCTGGATACCGTCGCAGGGTCGCCTCGCAGCGGTCATGCGATCGTCGCAGAGTCGCACGACGGTACGACGGTAGGATCACCGTCGTCATGCCGACGTGGTGTTCGCAGCTCGTTTCATCAGCCGTCCAGACATGAAACTGCCTCCCAACTCGCCGTTTCACCTTCAACTTCCCAAGTCCCCATTCGCCGATTGCAACGACACCTGGCGCCGCCGTACGGAGGGATGTACGGATCCTGCGCTTCCATCCTCGCTATAATCTGCCTCGTTAACCTCGTCTCGTGCTCGTCCGCGCGGTCCTCCGCGGTCGCCGCGAAAGCCGCCCCACCGCCGGCGAACCAGCCGAGCGTTCTTCCGGCCTCGTGCTTCTTCGCGCTCCAGGTAACTTTCGCCAACGGTTTCGCACGAATGAGTACTCCCGTATTCGGTTTTCGCGCAACGGACTTGGGGGGGAAGGTGGGGGGTCGACAGGGACTGCGTGAGTGACTCGTAAGGCGACTCAAGAGTTCACGGTGTTTCGGGGGGGAAGGCTGTGGGGGGAAACCGAGGGGGAAACCGTGGGGGGAAACTGAGGGGGGAAACCATGGGGGGGAAATTGTGGAGGGGAAACCGTGGGGGAAACCGTGGGGGAAGCTGTGGGGGAAACTTCCGCGGGTAACAATTAGACTGCGGCGCACGTAGCGGCTGAGCAGGTGAGCCGCTGTTGCGACAGGCGGGGGAATCCTAGGGTAAAGGCCTCGGGAGGGTATGCGGGGGAAACCGGGGGGATTTTTCGCCGTCAGTCGAACACGAAAAACGGGTGGGGGAAAGGGGAAGGGGAAGGGGAGGGAGGGGGTTGAGTGGGGGCGTGGGGTGTTGGAACCACCGCGAAAGGGGTGGTGCGCAAACGCGCAGCGTGACGGGTTGCGCGGGCAGTCGATTGGGGAAAACCAGGGGGGGGGGGAAGGGGGGAAGGGCAGGTGGGGTGTGTGTCTAGGGATTACCGCGGAAGGTCTGGTTGCGCGAGCGCGTAGTGTGGCCGGCGGGTTGCGCGGGCAGCCGAGTTCGATGAGCACATGCGTGGGTGGGTTCCGCAGGCGCGCGCACGTAGGGGGGGTCCCCAGGTGCCCGCGCGCTGGTGGGTTTGAAAGGCGGAAAATGTCGAACTGCGCGCGCAGTTAGGGTTGGCCTTCGCTCCCCTCGCTCCCTCGCTCTCTCGCTCCCTCGCTCTCTCGCTCCCTCCCTCGCTTCCTCTCTCCCTCTCTCTCTCGCTCCCTCGCTCTGTACTTCCTCCCTCCCTCCCTTCTTCCCTCCTTCCCTCCTTCTCCTCCCTCCTCCCTCCCTCTCTTCCTCTCTTCCCTTCTCCCTTCCTCCCTCCCTTCTCCCCTCCTCCCTTTCTCCCACTCTCATCTTCTCCCTTCCTCCCACTCTCCTCTTCTCCCTTCCTCCCTTCCTCCCTCTCTCCCCTTCTCCTTTCCTCCCTTCCCCCTCTCTCCCCTTCTTCCTTCTCCTTTCCTCCCTCTCTCCCCTTCTCCCGTCCTGTCTTCTTCCTCCTCTCCTCTTCTCCCTTCCTCCTTTCTCCCGTAGCTAACAGAGATTCTCCCTTCTCACAGCTTACCCCCTGTTATGTGCGCCGTAGACTAACCGTCCCCCGCGACGCTCTCTTGTCCCTGCTCTCTCTCCCTCGTCTCTCCTTCTCTCCCACTCCTCCCTCCCCTCTCCCTACTAGGCGTGCGATTTCGCCTTCAACAACTCACTCTGCTTCGTGCCGCTCCACGCGCTCGCCATCTCTCCCTTCCCCTTTCTCCCTCTCCTCACTCTTTCCTCCAATTCACCCCCTTTCCCCTTTCCCCCTCTTCCCCACCAGGCGTGCGATTTCGCCTTCAACAACTCGCTGGGCTTCGTGCCGCTCTTCGCGCTCTCTGTCATGCAGCCCGACGTGCCCTTCACGCAGGGCATCATGCACAGGTGGGTGACAGAACCGCTCGTTCCCACATCCCTGCTGCTTCCTCTTTGTCCGTGACTCTGTGCGTGCATGCGCGCTCTCTGTCGTGCAGCCCGACGTGCCCTTCACGCAGGGCATCATGCACAGGTTGGTCACCATAATCCCTGCACATAGAATCGGGGTACATCTTGAGGCGACCTCTGGTTCGACTCAAAAGTCTTCTCTCAGTCGTGCAGCCCCGCGTGCCCTTCACGCGGGGGATCATGCACAGGTTGGTCACCGGCCACAGTACTTGGGTTCAGCTAGACTTGCTCAGGTGACTTCTTAGTTGACTCAAAAGTCAGCTCTCTGCCGTGCAGCCCGACGTGCCCTTCATGCAGGGCATCATGCACAGGTCAGTGACCAGCCATTTCTGTTGCAGTGAGTGATCAGTGTATCAACTGAGATGGATTTTTGTAGGCGACTTATGACTCAAAGGTCATCTCTCCCTCATGCAGGTTGGTGTCCTGGCTGCTTCCTCTCTGTCATTGACTGTGTGCGTGCGTGTGTGCGTGCGTGCGTGCATGCGTGTGTGTGGGTGCATGCGTGTGCGTGTGTGCGTGCCTGCGTGTGCGTGTCTGTGCATGTGGCCGTGGGATTGTGTTCGAAACCAACCCTGACTTTCCTTTTCATTCCCCTACTCTTTTCTCTGTCCCTCGGATTTCCCTTGCAGCAAGCGATCAGCGCCGGCAATATCGGGAAAGCTCAAGCCGCAGTGCAAAGCTGTGAGCGTCTGGAAGGTGAGCCGCAATCTGCACTACACCTTTTTTGTTACACCATCTGCAATTTACACCGTTTTTGTTACAGCATGTACACCGTGTTCATTCTTGTTTATTCAAGCCTGGAACACGGCTCCGTTTTTGGCCGGATTCATAAGCTGGACTTAGCTGCTTCTGCGGGTTTGTTCCTTGCTTTACAAATCCCTGCCTACGCTGCTGTAGTGTGCCCATTCGTCTGCAGGATTCCTCCCACCTGCTTTATCAGAACCTCAATGCCCCAATTTTCTTCTCAACGTGTATTATATCAGCCCTTTCACACACTCCCATTCCCTTCATTTCCGTATTCTTTTCTTTCCCTGATTGCTTGCCCACCAGTTCAAAGCACTCAAGTGCCCGCCTCTCGCAATAGTCCCCTCCTCCAGCTCCGCGTCCCCATTCCCTTCATTTCCTGATTCCTGTCTCCCCATGATTGCTTGCCCACCAGTTCAAAGGACTCAAGTGCCCGCCTCTCGCAATAGTCCCCCCTTCCAGCTCTTCGACCCCAAGCATTCGCTTTGCAGCTAAAGGACAAGTGTCAGGAACTGTGAGTGACCCTCTTGCTGTTGCCAATTAATTTTGTTCTTGTTTATTTCATTTTGGCAACTGGTTCAATTGTGCGCTGCTGACTGACTTGCTGTCTTTTGTAACCACAGGGTTACAGCGGGGCATGCTTCACCATGAGTTTCTCGCAATTATTGGTGAAGCTTGGGAGCGGCCCAAAGGGTATTCTTAGATTGACATCAGGGGATGGCAATACACAATTTCCAGAGGTAAACTACAGGAGATGGAGATTGAATGCACTTGGTACATGAAGATCGCCTTTTGGTGCAGTCATTTTACTTTTACCTTCGCAGCTTATCAGTGTTTCTTTTGTTTCTGCTTGTGTTTGCAGAACCGAAGATGTGTTGTCTTCAGAACACTGTAGGAATGGCTGGCTGAACAGGTTATTCTTGCATGAAGATAGTACTCCATCATAGTACTATATTGTAGAGAGGACGATATTCATATTTGTACCCCTGTACACTGCACTGAAATGAATATTCACTTTGTGTACACGTAACTCATCTATCTCTATTTTGATGTGAAGTCTAGGGAGTGTTTCCGTACCTATGGTTCGAGCTGAAGTGGTTTCAAGAACCAATTACAAATTTCCGCAGCTCTGACAGGAGTTTCCCGCCAACAGAGACCCACTCAGGGGTCATCTTGTTCCATCCAAAACCTCGGACATTCCCAACGGACTTCCCGCAGAAGCATCCCCCTTTGCCCCCCACTCTAGCAAAATTCCCCGTTCCCCGCAAACCCTCCGCAGTCTTATCCCGCCAGCTCCCCGCTCAGCCACCCTTCCAAGACTGCCCCGCAAACCCCAGCAACAGAATTCCCCAGCAGACTTCCCCGCAGACTCCCCCGCAGCCTCCGCGAAGCTCTTTTCTCCGTCCCTCCGCAATCCTCTTTCTGCTGACTCACCTCCCTCCCTCTTCAACCAGTCCTGTCTCTCTGTGTTGTGCTGCTATGATTCCATATAGACCGTTGCGATCGCCTCTGCGTGACCGTCTTGCTGATGTATCTTGTTTCCTTTCAATTGTGTCAGGTCTGGTATTCAGGTGATGTTCTTATTCTTGTTTAGCAAACAAAACTTACATCGCGGGAAAGTTGTTAATAATTCTTTGCTCAATTTTCATTCTGTTCCCGTTTCTCCCATCCCCTCCTTCGTACGTGGGTTAACGAAGGGACACAGGATCCGTTTTGGATTCTTTCCGTTAACGTTCCGTTAACGTCTTCGACCAGGTGATGGATTCGAGATCCTTCCGTCTGCTACCACGCGTCGTCAATCCCAACCATGCGACGAACGACTCATCAGGCGCGTCGCCTTTACCTGACGCCGTCAATTCTAACCGGTCAGATGGTGAACCGTCACAAATACCGCCTGTTGCAGTCGGCTATCCGGCGGTCTACCGTCTGCCTGCTACAGCAAGCTTGAACCCCCAAGTTCAGGAAACGCAGAGAGCGCAGATGCAGGGATCACAGCCACAGGTAGCGCAGGTGCAAGGATTAAGTACTACTAGTTCTATGCCACCTGGAGCTGCTGCTTCTCAGCCGTTAACTAAACAATCTTTACCTCTGAAGTCGGTATTGCCTAAGCCGTTACTTCCAAAGCCTTTACCTCCCCAGTCGTTACCTCCCCAGTCGCTCCCCCCCCAGTCGTTTACTCCTCAATATGGTCCTGCTCAGTCGTTTCCCCCTCAGTATCTTCCTCCTCAGTACTTTCCGCCTCAGGCCTTTCCTCCTCAATATTATTCTCAACAGTTTTATCCTCATCCTGTATACTTCTCGCCAACACCAACCCCCGTATCAGCTACAGTGCTTTTTAACCGATCCGCATCCCATGCGTTTCAATCTGCCACTGGATCACACTCAAACCAAACTTCGAGCCACAGTTCTGGTGTGCATGCCGAGCCTCGACTTGTTTCCGTACCTGGTGAACAGACTCGGACATCTGCTCCAACTTCTCTACCTTCCTTCTCTCCTGCTCCTAATCTACCAACTCCCCCTACTCCTCAACTCACACATTACCCTTCGCCTCAGTCAGCTTGGCTAAATTCAGATTCCTCATCTGGTTACCAGGTGCATCGTCAACCCCCCGCCAGTGTAACATCACATACTTTCGCTCCCGCTTCTCATACGCCTGGTGCTGCAACAGGTTCGCATGCCTCAATTCTCGGTCCTTACGCTCCTCCTCCTCCTCCTCCTCACGCCCCTGCTGCTCCTGCGGCTTCCCTCGCTCCTGCTGCTCCTGCTGTTGCTGTTGCTCCTGCTGCCGTTGCTCCTTCTCCTGCTGTTGCTGTTGATCCTATTACTCCTGCTGTTCCTGCTGCCCCTTTTGCTCCTGCTGCTCCGTATGCTCCTGCGGCTCCTGCGGCTCCTGCTGCTCCTGATGGCGCTGGTGGCTCTGGGCATGCTGCATCGCTTTGTCACAAAGCCTGGCGGGAGCATGCTCAGGGAGGACCCGAGCACGGGCAGCACGGGCAGCAGCAGAACGGGCAGTTTGCGCAGCAAACGTGGGAGCACGGGCAGCAGCAAAACGGGCAGTTTGCGCAGCAAACGTGGGAGCACGGGCAGCAGCAGAACGGGCAGTTTGCGCAGCAAACGTGGGAGGACGGGCAGCAGCAAAACGGGCAGTTTGCACAGCAAACGTGGGAGCACGGGCAGCAGCAGAACGGGCAGTTCGCGCAGCAAACGTGGGAGGACGGGCAGCAGCAAAACGGGCAGTTTGTACAGCAAACGCACGAGTTTGGGCAGCAGCAGAACGGGCAGTTTGTGCAGCAAACGTGGGAGCACGTTCAGCAGCAAAACGGGCAGTTCGCGCAGCAAACACGCGAGTTCGGGCAGCAGCAGAACGGACAGGTTGCGCAGCAAATGCACGAGCTCGGGCAGCAGCAGAACAGGCAGTTTGTGCAGCAAGCGTTCGAGCATGCGCCTGAGAGAAGGGAGACGAGGGCCAGGATGGTTCAGGCGTGGGACTGGGATGGTGTGGAGGCTCGAGGGGTAGAGGCGGGGGTGAGGGAGAGGGAGATCGAGGCGTGGAGGGAGGGTCTTTGGCGTGGCGAGGATGGAGATATGCCAGACGTGGGAGGCGGAGGGGAAGGGCTCGGGGGGGTTGGAGGTGTGGGGCGGAGCGGTGATGAGGGTGGAAGAGAAGGGGGAGAGGATGGGGAAATAGGAAGGGAGGGGGTAGAAGAAGCGGAAGAAGGAGAGGTTGAGGGACGAGGAAGCGAGGGAAGAGAGTGTGGAGGAAGTGGAGAAGGAGGAGGAAGAAGAGGAGAGGAAGGGCAGGGAGGAGGATGTGCTCGGACTTTTGCGATTGGAAGAAAGGGGTACGCTGCAGCTTTAGCAGCAGGCGGAGTGCCAGCGTCAGCAACAGCTGGAGTGACGTCAGGAGCAGGAGAAGCTGCAAGCACAGCCAGAGCAGCTGCTGGAGGCAAGAAGAAGAAGAAAAAGAAGAAAAACGGTGGTGATGGGGGAGGTGGAGGTGTAATGCTGTTGCAGAAGGTTGTGAAGGCTGAGCCGGAAGAAGGGGAGCTAGTCCCTTGCTCGACTGCTATTCCTTCGAATGATGATCTTTGCCCTGTCAGCGTTTCGCCTGGTAACACTCTGCGTGGAAACATATCGTATGCAGTGCCAGGCAGAAATTTTCCTGACTGGGATGCTGCAGGAAACGGGGTTGGGGGAAGGAGAGTTGTGAGCTATGGGGACATTGAGGCGGAAACAAGGGGGGAGGAAGTGCCTGGTTTGGTGAGTAAAGCTTCGCCTGGTTACCCTTTGCCTGCTGCCGCAAACGCTATTCAGAGGAGAGCTGTGAGCTATGGGGACATTGAGGCGGAAGCAATTGGGGAGGAGGTGCCTGGCTTGGCGAGTAACGGTTGGCTTGGTCACCCTTCGCCGGCTGCAGTGAACGCCATCCCGAGAAGGAGAGCTGTGAGCTATGGGGGCATTGGGGCGGAAGCAATGGGGGAGGAGGTGCCTGGCTTGGCGAGAAATGGTTGGCCTGGTAACCCTTCGCCGGCTGCCGAGGACGGCTTTCAGGGAAGGAGAGTTGTGAGCTATGCTGATGTTGGCATGGATGATAGGGTGGAGGCTTCTGGTGCAAATGCTAATGCTGGCCATTTTCCTTCTGTTGCTGCTGCTGCCGCTCCTGCTGCCACTGTTTATGCCGACAGTGTGACACCCATACATTCACGAATTGGCATTCCATTGTCAACAGCTTATGTGAACCTTGCCCCCTCTGCCGGTGCTGCTGGTGCTGCTGCTGGTGCCGGTGCTGCTCCTGCTGTTGCTGCTCCTGCTGGTGCTGCCTCTGCTGCTGCTGCTGGTGGTGCCTCTGCTGCTTCTGCTGCTGCTGCTGCTTCTGCTGCCAACAGTGTGGCACGCATACCATCACAACTTGCCATGCCATCAACTGCCAGTGCTGGCCTTGCTCCTACACATCTCCCCTCAGCCACTCTCTCTGCTTCACATCTCCCCACAGCCACTCTCTCTGCCCCACGCCGCCCCTTAACCAGTCTCTCCGCCCTGCTTCGGAGATTCCTAGGAGACGAAGGGGCTGCAAAGCCAACCCAGGAGCCGACGGTGGGAGCGAGAGGGGCTTTGGAGTTGACTCGCGAATCAGGGGCCGGTGAAGCAGCAGTTGGTTCCATTTCAAGGGCAGGTGAAACAGCAGTTGGTCCGAACTCAGGGGCAGGTGAAGCTGCAGTTGGTTTCAATTCAAGGGCAGGAGAAACAGCAGGTGGTTTCAAGTCAAGGGCAGGTGAAGCAGCAGAGGGATCAGGTCACACGCCTGTGGGCCGTGAAGCGGCGGTGGAATTGGAGGAAGGGGAGATTGGAGGAGAGGAGGGGGAGGTTGGGGAGGAGCAGGGTGAGGAGATATGGAGACAGGTGGGTCAAACAGAGGCGAGGGGAAGAGATGGGGGGGGCGAGAGAACAGCGGTGGGTCAAACAGAGGCGAGGGGACGAAGTGGGGAGATTGAGGAAGTGAGGAGGCGAGCATTGGGAGAGTCAGAGGGGAGAGGGAGAGGTGGGGAAGGTGAGAAGGCAAGCACGCGAGTGGTGGAACAGACCGAGGCGAGCGCAAGGTGTGGGGAGGGCGAGGAAGCGAGAAGGCGAATGGTGGAACGGACAGAGGGGAGAGGGAGAGTAGGGGAGGGTGAGGAATTGCGGAGAGGAGAGAAGAGTGTGGAGGTGCTGGGTGCGGTGGGGGAGAGTAGAGTAGTGAGGAGAGGAGCGGATGGGGATGTGAGGAGGAGAGGTGGGGATGAGGAAATGCCGTGCCGGGAAGTTGAGGAGATAAGAAGCATAGGGGTTAGAGAGAAGGGTGCGGAAGGGAATGATAGGGTGGGAAAGGTTGATGGCAGGGCAAGTGGCAGGGTGGAGGGGAGAGGAGGAGGAGAAGGAAGAGAGGGGAGAGAAGGAGGAGAAGGAAGAGAAGGGAGAGAAGGAGGAGAAGGAAGAGAGGGGGAAGAAGGAGAAGGAAGTGAAGGGAGAGGAGGTGAAGGGAGAGAGGGGAGAGGAGGAGAAGGAAGAGCAGGGATAGGAGGAGAAGGAAGAGAGGGGAGAGGAGGAGACGGAAGAGAGAGGAGAGAAGAAGAAGGAAGTAGAAAGGTGAGAGAAGGAGGAGGTCGAAGGGACGCTAGGAGCAGTAGAAGCCAAAGCAGAAGCAGAAGTAGGAGCAGGAGCAGCAGTCAAGCAAGCGACAGCCAGAGAAGAAGCATGAACAGGGGTGAGAAAGGCGTGAGGGTTAGGAGAAGGGAAAAACGTGATGAAGATAGTGACAGCAGCAGCAGCAGCAGGAGACTGCACGGTCATAGCAATAGCAGTGGAAGTAGCAGGGGAAGCAGCAGAAGCTCTGACAGGAGTAGGAGCAAGAGCAGAGGTAGGAGCAGAAGCAGCAGTGATAGAAGTAGAGGTGTGGACTCGAGCACAGACAATGATAGAAGAAGGAGCAGCGATGGTAACAGGAGCAGTAGGAGGAGCGGAAGCAGCGTTAGAGAGAGCAGCGATAGGAGAAGAAACGACAGGAGCAGAAGCGAGAGTGTAGGGAAGGGTGGCAGCAATGAGACACGCAGCAGGGCGAAGAGGAGTGGCAGCAAAGGGGGAAGAGGAAGGAGCATCAGGAAGAGTGAGAGCAGCCGAGGCAGTGAGAGTAGCAGAAGTAGTAGTGGTGGCAGAGAGAGAGGTAGCAGTGGCTGTGGCACACACACCACCAGTGACAAAAGAAGACAGACTTCTAGGAAGAGTGGTGGTAGAGACAGAAGCAGGGGCAAGGAAAGGAATAGAAGTAGTAGTGGTGATAAGGAGAGTGTTAGCAGCGGGTCACACTCCAGAGGGAGGACTTTTAGGAAGAGCAGTGATGAAGACAGAAGCAGGGGCAAGGAAAGGAGCAGAAGTAGAAGTGGTGATAAGGAGAGGATTAGCAGCGGGCCACACTCCAAAGTACGGACTTTTAGGAAGAGTGGTGGTGGAGACAGAAGCAGGGGTAAGGAGATGACTGCGAGTGCTAGTGGTAGTAATGGCAGGAGGTATAGTCGGGACAGCAGCAGCAGCAGAAGCGACAGCAGGAGCAGCAGCAGTAGTAGGAGCAGGAGCAGGGGAAGGAGCAGGGGAAGGAGCAGCAGCAGCAGCAGCAGCAGCAGCGGAAGCCGCAGTAGTGAGAGGAGAAGCAAAGGGACGAGTGCTAGAAGTAGCAGCGATAGAAGCAGGAGCAGCAGCAGGAGCAGGAGCAGCAGTAGGAGAAGCAGCAGCAAGAATGCAAGGAGCAGCAGCAGCAGTAGCAGCAGCAGCAGTAGCAGCAGCAGCAGTAGGAGGAGCAGCAGCAGTAGGAGCAGGGGCAGCAGCAGGAGCGGCAGGAGGAGCAAAGAGGAGCTGAAGTCTAGAAAAGACGAGCCCCTGAAGCTTCCTCTTGCTGAATCGTCTGGCATTGACAGGCCAGGAGGGGCTTTAGCAGAGGGGAGTGGGAGTGGGAGGAGGGCGATGGTGGAGGGAGGAGGGAGAGAGGGAGGCAGAGAGGAGAGGATGAGTGAAAAGGTAATGCCGCCTTTTGAGGCTGTTCCTCTCGTGTGTCCTTCCGTTGATGATGATACTGCTGCGGCTGCCAACGCGGTTACTGGTGATGCTGCTGACGCTACTCCTGCTACAGCTGCTCCTGCTGCGGATGCTGATGTGGACCCTGCTGCCAGTGGCCCAGATGCTGATGTGGACCCTGCTGCCAGTGGCCCAGATGCTGATGTGGGCCATGCTGCCAGTGGCCGAGATGCTGATGTGGACCCTGCTGCCAGTGGCCCAGATGCTGATGTGGACCCTGCTTCCAGTGGCCCAGATGCTGATGTGGACCCTGCTTCCAGTGGCCCAGATGCTGATGTGGACCCTGCTTCTGCTGGCGAGCGTGCCACTGGTGCCCCTTGTGTTCCATCGCAGCAGCCGGAAAGTCTGCTACAGCAGGAGGGTTCTCTACAGCAAGAGAGGCAAGCAGAGCCGGACATCCAGCTGGAGTCGGAAAGTCAACTGCAGTCCGCGAGTCTGTTGCAGCCGGAGGGTTCGCTACAGCCGGAGGGTTCGCTACAGCCGGAGGGTTTGTTACAGCCGGAGGGTTCGCTACAGCTGGAGGGTTTGCTACAGCCTGCTGCCCTTGAACCGACGAAGCCCACACCTCAGCAGAAGAAGCCTGTGACCTTCAAGCTCGCTCTGTCCAAAAAGTCGGCTGGTAAAGATGTGGGAAAACGAGCTGGGGGTGGATCGGAGAAGGCAGGGATTCCGAAGGGGCTTGAAGGTCTGTTTGTGGCGCACAGAAAGGCTGTGTCGTTCAAGGCACAGCCTGCTGCTGCTGCTGCTGCTGCTGCTGCTGCTGCTGCAGCTGCAGCTGCTGTTGCTGTGAGTGGTGGTGGTGTTGCTGCTAGTGGAGCTGCTGCCTCTGCCACTGCTGCTTCTGCTGCTGCTAGTGCTGTGAGCGGTGCTGCTGCTGCTGCTGGTCGTGTTGCTGCTGTTAGTGGTGGTGGTACCGGTGGTGATGCTGGCACTGGCGTGCCTGTCAGTTCTGATGCGCATGCCGCCACTTCTGCTGCTGCTGACCCTGATGGTGCTGCTTCTACTGCTCCGGCTGTTGATGACGATGGTGGTTTAGCCTTGGATGCTGCTGCTCCAAGTGCAGCTGGTGCTGCTACTTCTGCCAATGGTGCTGTTGAGTCAGCTGCTGCGGCTCCTGCTACCACTAAGGGCAGTGGTGCGCCTGGTGCTGCTCCTGCTGCTGCGAGTGCTGATGTCAATGGTGGTTCAGCTGCTGGTGCTGGTGATGCTGTTGAATCAGCTACTGTGGCGCCTGCTACTGCTAAGGGCAGTAGTGCCCCTGGAGCGTCTCCTGCTGCTGATGTCGATGGTGGTTCAGCTGCTGCTGACAGCGCTGGTGCGGGTGCTGTTACCACCGGCGCTGAAGCCGCTGGTTGTGTTGGTGTTGACCATGCTGCTGTGTCAGCTGCTGCTACTGCGATAGGCACTGGTGCCGCTGAGTCTCCTGCTGCTACTGCTGCTACCGCGATGGCCACCGGTGCCACTGGTGCTGATGCTGCTGGTGCAGCTGCCACTGCTGCTACTTCAATGGGCACCGGTGCCACTGCTGGATCTAAACCTTTGCGGAAGTCCCGGTGGTCTCCTGTGCCCCCTACTCTTTACCGCTGCTACTGCTGCTACTGCTGCTAATGCACCATCTGCTGTTCCCACCGATGCGTCTCCCGCACTTTACGTACCATCTGTCCCTGTGCCTGCCTCTTCTCGCGCCTCGCACCTGGTGTTTGTCCCTCCATCTGTGCTGCGGAGGAAGCAAGCCAAGGCTGCAGCGGTGGCCAAGGGGACTGGCTCAGAAGGTGCAGCGGCAACAGTGGAGGGGGCAGTGGGTAAGGGGACTGATCTAGGGGTTGCAGCCGTAGCAGCGGAGGGGGCAGTGGGTAAGGGGACTGGGCACAAGGGTGCAGCGGCAGCAGTGGAGGGGGCAGTTGGTAAGGGGACTGGGAAAGAGGGGGCAGCGGCAGCAGTGGAAGGGGCAGTGGGTGAGGGGACTGGGCAAGAGGGTGCAGCGGCAGCAGCGGAAAGGGCAGTGGGTAAGGGGACCGATCTAGGGGTTGCAGCTGTAGCAGCGGAGGGGGCAGTGGGTAAGGGGACTGGGCAAGAGGGTGCAGCAGCAGCAGTGGAGGGGGCAGTGGGTAAGGGGACTGGGGAAGGCGGTGCGGCAGCAGTGGAGGGGGGTCAAGAGAAGTCCGTAACAGGGGAGGAGAGTCGACAAATTTCTGTACCAGGAGAGGGGGGTTTACAAACGGCTGTAGCAGGGGAGGGGGGTCAACAAAAGGATGTAGCAGGGGAGGAGGGTCAACAAACGGCTGTAGCAGCGGAGGAAGAGAGTCAACAGAAGGCTGTAGCCGGGGAGGAGATTCAGCCACAGTTTATAGCAGTGGAGGAGAGTCAACTCAATTCTGCAGCAGCAGCGGAGGAGAGTCAACAGAAGTCTGTAGCAGGGGAAGGGAGTCAACAAAAGGCTGTGGTTGAGGAGGAGAGTCAGCAAAAGGCTGTCACAGGAGAGGAGAGTCAACGGAAGTTTCCAGCTGTTCAGGGGACTGAGGGAGCAGCTGTAGCAGGAAAAAAGAGTCAACGCAAGTCTTCAGTTGACAAGGGGACAAAGCAATCAACTGTAGCAGAGAAAATGAGTCAACGCAAGTCTTTACTGGTCAAAGGGCCGAAGCAAGGAATAGCTGCAGTAGACACGAGGAAACACAAGTCGATAGTGCTTAAAAGAACCCAGCTGAAGATCCTGGCACCGAGGCAAACCGCAGGGACAAAAGCAACGATCGGTGGTGGGGATAAGAGCGCTGCCGCTGCTGCTGCCACTGTTTCTGGAAATGAAAACCGTGGGGATGGTGGCACTGGAATTCAAGGGGTTGGTGGTGGTGGCTATAACATGAGTGATGATGGTGGTGCTGAGGGGTCTGGTTCCATTCGCTACAAGAACGTTGCAGCTCTAGGGGCGAAGGTGGGAGGTGACAGTATCGAAAGGGTGATGCGGCAGGCGCGGCAGCATGTGAGGCCGCGATCCAGCCGAGTCACTCGCAGATTGGCCCTCTCGGGGTCCCCAGAAGGGGGATTCTTAGAGCAGCAGCAGCAGCAACAGCAGCAGGAGGAGGGGGAGGGGGAGGAGGAGCAGGCACGGCAGCATGTGAGGCCGCGGTCCAGCCAGGTCACTCGCAGATTGGCCCTCTCACCTTCCCCAGGGCGCCTCTCGGGGTCCCCAGAAGGGGGATTCTTAGAGCAGCAGCAGCAGCAGGAGGAGGAGGAGAAGGAGAAGGAGAAGGAGAAGGAGAAGGAGAAGGAGAAGGAGCAGCAGCAGCAGCAGCAGCAGCAGCAGCAGCAGCAGCAGCAGCAGCTGTATCATGCCGTGGAGTATCAGAGCAGCGAGTCACTTCTGGGGCCTCATCGGTTAGTGGTGCTGCAGAACGAGTGGAGGCTAGAGCCAGAGTCACGCTCGTTACAATCACACCCGGTAGAGTCACACCGGTGTGAGTCACAGGCTGAGGCCGACGGTGACTCGAGTGATCCTCCTCCTGCCCCGAGTCTGCTGGAAGTTCTGGCTGTTGCTGCTGCTGAGAGTGAGAGGGCTGATGGGGACAGCAGTGGCAGATACGTGGGAGGGGATAGGGGCGGAATGGGGAGGGAGAGTGGAAGAGTGGGAGGGGAGAGAGTGGGTGGAGTGGATGGGTGGGGTGGATGGATGGGTGTGACAGGTGGGGCGAGGAGGTGGGGGGAATGGAGAGGGGAGGAAAGCCGGGGGGAGGGGGAGGAGCAGGAGCAGATGGAGGATAGGGGAGAGGGGGAGGAAGTGAGTGAGAGAGGAATAGATTTATCACAAGAGGGAGATGCAAATGTTAGAGGATTCCTGTCACAGGACTCCCTTGGGTCTGAGATGCATTCTCAGGATTCCCCGATGCTGGCGCTGCTGTCCCTGGCGAACCTAGCTCACACCACTGCTGATACTGCCGAACCTGCGGTTCCTGCCGGACCTGCGTTTCTTGCCGGACCTACACCTCCTCAGAAGCTGGCTCCGATCCTGGAATCCGCTTCTCCTGCCGAGCCTGCTGTCTCCGCACCTCCACCCGAGCCCGTGTCTGCACCCGAACCTGCTTCTGAATCTGCTCCTGCACCCCTGGCTAAGCGTTTACTGTTGTTTGAGGCTCTTCAGAACGAGGAGGAGGAGGAAAGGAAGAGAAAGATGATAAGAAAGAGGAGCAGGAGGAGAAGGAAGAGGAGGAAGAGGACGAAGAGTCGCAGTTTGAGAACCCATGGGACTTGATCCTGGACGTGCACGCATCTTCTGGGTCAGACTCAGGGAGTGAAGGAGGGGGAGGGAACGAGGGGGAGAGAGGGGGGGAGAGAGGAGGGGGAGAGATGGGGAGGGAGAAGAAAAGAGGGGGAAGTTGGGTCGGGGGTGCTGGAGGAGTTACCAGTGCTGCAGGGCGTGTTCGAGCTTCCGAGACCAGAGATTGCAACTTTTGAGCTAACACCGGAGAAAAACGGGAGGCGTGCTGGTTCGGATGCTGAGGAGGATGATGCTGATGAAGATGTTGATCCTTGGAGCTTGGATCTGCTGCCGTGTGGTGACGTGGCAGGCGTAGCTGACGTGGCAGGTGCAGGTGGTGTTGCAGATGTTGCTGACGAGGCAGGTGCAGGCGACGTGGCAAATAGTGGAGTAGGGACAGGAAACGAAGTCACCAGGGGAGGAGGAAGAGATGGGAGTAAGGCGAAGGATAGGGGAGAAGGGGAAGTTGCAGCAGCAGTGGGGGCCTGTGATGCACATGCAAGGGATTCAGACAATGTAAGGGATGAGGATCTGAGTGGTAAAGGTATGACTGGTGAAGGTTCTAGTGACAAAGGTTCGAGAGGTGAGAGTGCACGTGAGGAGATTTATAACGGGGAAAGTGCTAATAGTGAGGTCAAGAGTGGTGCGGATATGAACGGTGGGGATTCTCCTATTGATCTTGCATCTGATACAACTGAAAGGAGTGCCGAAGCTGCTGTTGCTGCTGGTGATGAAGGTTCAACTGGTGAAGTTACAGGTGCTGAGAAACTTCCTGAAAAATCACCTGAGAATCCACTCCAGGATATACCTGAGAAATCTCCTGCTGTCATTTCAGTGGTGCAACTGTAGCAACGGCTGGAGTTACTGCAGCCAGTGCTGATGAGCCACCTGGCGTGCAACAGTTGGTGACCAAGGAACAGCCAAATCTGCTGACGTATTCAAGGAAGAAGGCAGGGGGTGGTGCGAGTGCAAGTCAAGAGGGGCTCGGTGTTGATGTGAGATCGAAAGGGGGAGAAGAGGGAGTGAGAGACGGAGGGGGCAATGTACCTGCGTCAGCAAGTGGGGCAGGTGCATCTGGGACAGGTGTATCTGTAGCAGCAGGGAAGGCAGGTGTATCGGTAGCAAAAGAGAAGGCGGGTGCATCCGTTGCAGCAGAAAAGGGAGGTGTATCTGCAGCTGTGGGAAAGGCAGCAGCTGCAGGTGTAACTGGGGGAGGTGTACCTGTACCTGCAACTCAGGTGGCTGTACCTAGAGCAGGAGTGGCTGTATGGGGGAGGGGACGAGGGATGACTGTGGGGGGAAGGGGGAGAGGGGTTGTGATGGGAGCAGGTGGGGTGTTGCTAGCAGGGAGGGGAAGGGGGCTGGTGAGCGGGCGGGCAGGAGGAAGGGTTGGGGGGAGGGGAAGGGGGGGCCTTGTGTGGAACCGGAATGCAGCTGCCAATGCCGGTCCTGGTGCTGGTGCTGGTGCTAGTGCCGGTGCCGGTACTGCTGCTATTGCTGCTGCTAGTGCTGCTATTGGTGCTGCTGTTGGTGTGCCGTCTGTTGCAGGTGCACATAAGAGGCCTGCATTCCCTGCTGCCAGCAAGAAGCTCACGTACTCTCTTGCCGCTGCTACAGCCGCTGCAGCTGCTACAGCTGCTGCAGGTGCTACAGGTGCTGCAGTTGGAAAGGTTACGTCTGCCGCTGCTGGGACTGGGAAACCTATGGGTACTCCTGTAGCAGCTGTAGCTGTAGCTGCTACAACTGGGAAACCTATATCTGTAGGCGCCCCCGCTGGGGGAGCTACAGCTCCAACAGCCGCTACAGCCGGGCATGCAGGCATATCTGTGGGTCGGCCTAAGCTGGTTGTTAGACGGCTTGTGCCTGCCGGGGCTGGCAAGGGCTCTGCTGCTGCTGGTGGTGGTTCTGCTGCTGCTGCTGCTGCTGCTGGTGCTGGTCCTGCTGGTGTTGGTAATAGTGCTGCTGCCATTGCTGCAGTTGAAGCTGCCGCCGCTGCTGCTGCAGCGGCTAAGGCTGCTACTGCCCTCCCTGCAAAGAAGGGCCCATCACCTTCCCCCTCAACCCTGGAGAAGAAGAAGCCATCTTCAGCCCCGCTGACCCCCCAAAAGGCATCTCCTTTCACGACTGTCTCACCTTCAGCTTTTGTCTCTCGCCGCTCCACCGCTGCCTCCATTGCCGCGTCCGTCGGTGCTGCGGCCTTCAACCGGAGGTACGTACGTACGTACGTGCAGCACCCCGGGCCTTAACATCAAAGTAACCCCCTCAGAAAAAGGCATCTCTGTTCACGACTGTCACCTCGTCAGCCTTTGTCTCCCGCCGCTCCACCGCTGCCTCCATAGCTGTGTCAGTCGGTGCTGCAGCCTTCAACCGCAGGTACCGCATGTTTCCTCTATAAAATTGGTGTTTCCACCCATTCCCGGTATATTGGTCGTGTAAGGTCTGAAATGAGTGATTTTTTTAGACGTCGCAGCCTTCAACAGGAGGTACGTGTATCGGTGGTGTAAGGCGTTGGTATCACATATTGCGCCTCTCCCAGTTCCGCGTATTTTCTCTCTGGCGTTTCATTCGTTCTCTTCCCATGATGCCTCGTGCCTCTTCTCCCTCTCCCTCACTCGCCCACACTCGTCGCCTAACAGCTCTACTTTTTCTGTCTCATCCTCCTCACTCCCTCACTCCCTCACTCGCTAATTTTTCAGGTTTGTGGCACAGCAGCTTTACACTCGTTCCTCCTCAGGCTTCTCGCTTCGTCGTTCAGGTGCGCACTCTCTTTCTCCCTCTTTTGACTTTTGAGGTGCCTCAAATCTCGCTTTTGACGTTTGAGGCGCCTCAAGAGTCGTTCAGGTGCACACTCGCTTTTCCCCCCTCGCTTTTTGAAAGGTCTCTCTTTCTCCTGCTCAAAAGATAGGTACTCTCTTTCTCGCATAGTCCTTTGTAAGCGGCTTTCGAGGGCCCTCAAAGTGGCTGCGTATGACCGCGTATGACCTTTTGAAGACATTTTTATGAATGGTTGCATCCGTTGCAGGTGTGAGGGCGGCCCGTGGTGTGAAGAGCCTGCAGTGGAGCAAGGAGCAGCAGGAGCAGGAGAAGAAGGCGAGAGAGGTGAGAGAAAGTGAAAGAGGTGTGAGGAGAGAGAGAGAGAGGTCTCACGTGGTGCGAAGAGCCTGCAGTGCAACAAGGAACAGCAGGAGCAGGAAGAAGGCGAGAGAGGTGAGAGTAAGTGAGAGAAGTGTGAGGAGAGAGAGAGAGAGGTGAGAGGAGAGGGTGAGGTGAGGGAAGGGAGAGAGGTGAGAGGAAGAGAGAGAGGTGACACGTGGTGCAAAGAGCCTGCAGTGGAACAAGGAGCAGCGGAGCAGGAGAAGAAGGCTAGAGAGGTGAGAGGAGAGAGCGAGGTTAGAGGAAGAGAGAGAGGGGAGAGGTAGCGAGAGAGGAGAGGAAGTGAGAGAGTTTAGAGAAGGTGAGGGAGAGGAGAGGAAGTGAGAGGGTGGAGAGGAAGCGAGAGAGGGGAGAGGAAGTGAGAGAAAGGAGCGAGAGAGAGGAGAGAGGAAGCAGAGAGAATTAAGAGAAGAGGAGCGGTCTCCTCTCCTCTCCTCTCTCTTCACCTCCCCCTCTCCTCTCCTCTTTTCTTCTCTTCTCCTTTCCTCTCCTCTCCTCTCCTCTCCTCTCCTCTCCTCTCCTCTCCTCTCCTCTCCTCTCCTCTCCTCTCCACTCCCCTCCCTCTCCTCTCCCCTCTTTTCTTCCCCCTCCTTTCCTCACGTCTCCTCTCCTCTCCCCTCCTCTCCTCTCCTCTCCTTCTCCTCTCCCCTCCTCTCCTCTCCCCCTCTCCTTCCTCTCACACTTGACTTCTCCCACATTTTAATTCTCCACCTGATGATGCAGCAGCGGAAGCATCCAAAAAGCAGCGGCAGCGGATCGATTCAGTGGAGAAAGCACAAAAATCTATAGCAAGAGTACATCCGCACATTCCTTCTTCCTTTCTACTCTCCTGTTGTGAAACCCGAAAACTTAAACCCTAAACCCTTCACCCCTTGTCCTCTCCTTTGTACCTCTCAGGAGGCCACGAAGGCAGCAGCAGAAGCTTCCAGGAAGCAGCGGCAGCGCAAAGAGGCAGTGGAGAGAGCAAAGAAGGCGATTGCGAGGAGCCAGGCGGAGCAGCGGGCCAAGAGACGGGCAGAAAAAGAGCGCATCCGGGCAGAGAACGCAAAAGTTAAAGCCGCCCACATGGCTGCTAGGGCGGTGGCGAAAAAAGCTGGTGCTGCTATTCTGGCAGCGAGGCGGCAGCAGAGTGAGTGTGTAGAGAGAGTGGGGGGGGGTGGAAGGGGGAGGGGGAGGAGGAGGGGGGGGCAAGGCGAGGAGTGGTAGCAGTTGTTGGGGGAAGAGTGAGTTGCAAAGGTTGAGGTGCAAAGGGTTGTGGCTGCATTTGTTGGGAGTGAATGTGGGGAGGGTTGTGGTGGCTGTGTACTTGTGATTGTGTAATGAGCGTTTTGAGACGTCTCAAAACGCTTGTTTTATCAGGTGGCTGAGCATGTGTGATTGTGTAATTGGTTTACCAGTTGTATGGATTCAGTCTTTTTAGGGAACGGATGGAAGATTGAAATTTGAGTATTTGTCTCTGACCCCTCCTCCTCACACCTCTCCACCCCTCCTCACACCTCTCCACCCCTCATTGCACCACTCCACCCCTCCTCGCACCTCTCCACCCCTCCTCGCACCTCTCCACCCCTGCAGCCACGGTGTTCCAGGGGTCCTCCGTGTATCGACTGGCAGCCAAGGGCCGATCTCTTGTGCGCCTGAGCAGTGAGTACAGGGGGGTGCTGGGGGGTGCTTGGGAGTGCGGGGGATTGCTGGAGGGTGCTGGGGGGTGCTGAGGGGTGCAGCGGGGTGCTGGGGGCTCAGGGCTTGGAGTTCAGTGGGGTTGGGTCAAACGATCTTGAGACGTCTCAAGGGCTGTTCGCTTGCGCGCCTGATCAGTGAGTAAAGGGGAAGTGAAGGGGGGTGCTAGGGAGTGCGGGAGGTTGCTTGGGAGTGCGGGAGGTTGCTTGGGAGTGCGGGAGGTTGCTTGGGAGTGCGGGAGGTTGCTTGGGAGTGTGGGAGGTTGCTGGAGCCCGGGGATTGCTGGGGGGTGCTGGGGGGTGCTGGGGGCTAGGGGATTGGAGTTCAGGGGGGGTGGGGCAAACGGTCTTGAGATGCCTCTGAGGGCCGCTTGCTTGTGCGCCTGAACAGTGGGTTGGGTACAGGAGGGGGTCCCGCCAGGGGCTGTTTTTTGGAAGAAATACAGTGCATTCAGCAGGCAGCTCACATAACATCACAATGCACTGCACTGCTGATGTATTTTGGAAGAAATACAGTGCATTTTGGAATGCATTTCAGTAGGCAGCTCACATCACAATGCACTGCTGATGTTGATAATGTATGTGTTGCCCCTGAGTCTTGCTTGTATTGGTCACCTGTCCATTGAATCTTTCCTCTCCCCAGCAGGTGGTTCAGCCAAGGACAAGTCGCCACGTGGCAAGGCACACGCACACCTGCCGGTGCCTCTCACTGCTGCACTAGCAGCCACCAGCTACCGGCGTGTGGGCAGGCAGGGCAACCAGCTGGTGCGGGATTCCAAGGCTGCCATGCGAACCGCTGCTGGGTGAGTGAGTGTCTTCCCTCTGAAGGCTCCCTATCAGGCCTCCCAGAGGGACACGAACTGCACGAACCGGGTGAGTAAGCGCTTGACTTGACGGTCCCCCATCAGGCCTTGAGAGTGCGCAGCAGGTGGTTTTTGAGACGTCTCAAAAATCAGGCCTTGATTGTGTAGCAGGTGGTTGCATCAGCGGCCGGGGTGGGGCAGCAGCAAGGCATCTGTTCCTGCGTGATTAATTGCTCACACCCGCCTTCCAACCCCCCCCCCGTCCCCCTCCCACCTTCCCACTCCCACTCTCTCCTTTCCTTCCGCCCACCTCGCCCTGCCCTGTTTCGTTCCAGCGTTTAGGTTTTAACACTCCCTCTCAACCCCCTACCAACCCCCTCAACCCCACCCTCCCTTCTCTTCCCCGATTTTCCTTCCCCGCCTCTCTCCCTCTCCCTCATATTCAGGGCTCGAGTGCGCTACAGCCTTCAAAACGCGCGCTACAGGCGGCAAAAGCAGCAGCAGCAGCAGCAGCAGCAGCTGTGCCAATATTTTACCCGGTTGGGGCAGTGCAGCAAGAAGGACTGTCGATTTCTGCATGACGCCAGCAAAGTGGCGCTATGTGTGCGGTTTATGAGAGGGATGGAGTGTGACGAGTCTCGATGCAAGCTCACGCACAAGGTAATGCCGGCAGATGCAATCTGCTCCATTTGGGTTGACTCAAATGCAATCTGCTCCATTTGGGTTGACTCAAATGCAATCTGCTCCGTGTGCCCCTTTAATTGCACCCGTCTCAATAGCCACTTACAGTCACTTGCAGTGACTGCCAGCAGTCACTTGCATCACTGTCTCGTCATTACCCTTTACCAATATCCGCACCGTGCTCTCCCCTTACTCTCTCTATGCAGATTATTCCAGAGCGAATGCCTGACTGTACCTTTTTAAAAGTCATCTCTCCCCTGGCCCCGCTCCTCGGACTTCCTCTTTTCTTTTCTCTCCGTGCAGATTATTCTGGAGCGAATGCCCGACTGAACCTCTACAATAGTAATCATACCCCCGCCCCCGTTTTATTAATCTCCTCGCACTTCCTCTGTTCTCCATGCAGATGATTCCCGAGCGAATGCCTGACTGTACCTTCTTTGCCAAGGGTGAGTGACTGTTAGGTTATGAATGTCCATGTCGCTATTGAGAATTCTCAAAAGCAACTGTCAGGTTATTAGTGTCCATGTGCGCGCTTAACACCTGGTATGTGCGCGCATGCTCACTTGTGCCGAGCTGCCCGTCCAATTCTGTGTGCCCACAGCGAAAGCCCGACCGCACCTTCTTTGCCAAGGGTGTGTAATAAGTCGATTTTTGAGTCGACTCAAAAATCGACTTATTACACACAGCGAATGCCAGATCGCACCCAGATCGCACCCTCTTTGTCAAGGGTGAGTCTGTGAGGTTAGCAGTGCATGGGTGCACTATTGGCTGTGCCTTTGAAGTCGACTCAAACTTAGACAGCACATGCCCGACCGCACCCTCTTTGTCAAGGGTGAGTCTGTGAGGTTAGCAGTGCATGGGTGCACTATTGGCTGTGCCTTTGAAGTCGACTCAAACTTAGACAGCACATGCCCGACCGCACCCTCTTTGTCAAGGGTGAGTCTGTGAGGTTAGCAGTGCATGGGTGCACTATTGGCTGTGCCTTTGAAGTCGACTCAAACTTAGACAGCACATGCCCGACCGCACCCTCTTTGTCAAGGGTGAGTCTGTGAGGTTAGCAGTGCATGGGTGCACTATTGGCTGTGCCTTTGAAGTCGACTCAAACTTAGACAGCACATGCCCGACCGCACCCTCTTTGTCAAGGGTGAGTCTGTGAGGTTAGCAGTGCATGGGTGCACTATTGGCTGTGCCTTTTTTCCGTGTTTTTTCAACCAGCATGCACAAATGGGATTCGATTTAGGCTCGCGTTTCACACAGTGTTTTTTCCACCCGTCGCTCCCCAACCAGGCACGTGCAGCAACAACCCGTTTGTGTATCGCCATGTGAAGCATCTCCCAGGCACACCCCTGTGCTCTGCGATTCTCTGCTCACTTGCTCTTCCTCCGTTCTAACCCAAACCCCTTACCCCTTTCACCCCGACCCCCACCCCCACCACCTTCCAACACCAGGCACGTGCAGCAACAAGCCGTGCGTGTATCGCCATGTAAAGCTGCCTCCAGGAACACCCGTGTGCTCTGCCTTTCTCAGAGGATATTGCGCGAAAGGGCTGACGTGCATGCAGCAGCACACGTATGAGTGTCCCGAGTTCGCTTCTAAAGGGGATTGTGCTGCGGGGAAGAAGTGCAGGCTTTGGCACAGGAAGAAGGCAGAGGAGGGGAGTGGTAAGGTGGGGAAGAAGAGGAAGAAAAGGTATTGGGAAGAGGAGGAGGGGGAGGAGGAAGAGGGGGAGGAGGGGGACGAGGAAAAGGGTGGCAAGAGAAAACGAGTGCAGCAGGGGGGGGGGAGCGAGGGGAAGGGGGAAAAAGAAGGGAGGAGGAAAGAGAAGGGAGGACAGAAGAGGAGGGTTGGGAGGAAGAAAGGGAAAAACGTTCTGAAGTTTTTTGGTGGTGATAGTGAGGAGAGTGAGGAGGGGAGTGAGGAGGAAAATGAGGAGGAGAGTATGGAGGAGAGTGAGGAGGGGAGTGAGGAGGAGAGAGGGGTGGAGAATGAGGAGATAGAAGAGGAGAGTGTGGGGGAGGAGGAAGAGGAGACGTTGGATGAAGAAGAGAAACAGAAGGTAGGGAAGGGTAAAGGGAAAAGCATTTTGAAGCTTTTTGGTGGTGATAGTGAGGAGAGAGGGGAGGAGAGGGAGGAGAGAGGGAGGAGGAGGGTGAGGAAGAGAAGGAGGAGGTGAGGGAGGATGGTGGGGAGGGGGGGAAAGAAAGAGAGGACGAGAGGAACAAAGGTGGGAAGCATAAAGTGAGGAGGTTGTTAAAGTTAATTGGTGGGGATAGTGATGAGGAGGAGGAGGAAGAACGTGAGAAGGAGAGAGGAAAGCGAGGGGAGCGAGAAGGAGAGTGAGGATGATTATGAGCCGGAGAAGAGGAGGGGAGAGAGTGAGGAAGAGTGGGATGGTGGGGAGGGGGAGGAGCAAGGGAGCGAGGAAGAGGAGGGGAAGAAGAGGAAGAATGCAGGGAAGTTCAAAGGGAAGAAAACGATGATAGTTAGTAGATGGAATGAGGAGGAGATGGAAGAGAAGAGTGAAGAGGAGAGAGTGAAGAGGAGAGTGAAGAGGAGGAGAGTGAAGAGGATGGGGCAGAGAGGGAAGTGATTGAGTTGGAGGAAGCAGAGGAGAGTGTGGAGGAGAAGGAAGAGGGGAGTGAGAAGGAGAAAGAGGTGAGGGTGGAGGAGAAAGAGCAGGGGAGTGGGGAGGATAAAGAAGAGGTGAGTGAGGAGGAGAAAGAGGAGGGGAGTGAGGAGGAAGGAAAGAAAGGCAAGGATGCGAAGCGTAGGAGAAGGTCTGTTTTAAGGTCTTTGGTGGGGAGAGTGAGGAGGAAGATGAAGAGGAGAGAGAAGAGGAGAGGGGAGGATGAGAGGGAGGAGAATGAAGGGGAAGAAGCGGGTGAGGAGAGAGAGGGGAGTGAGGAGGAAGATGAGATGTTGAAGGAGAGAGGGAGGGAGGGCAGTGAAGAGAGGGTGGGGGGGGAGAGTGAGGGGGAGGGGGAAGTAGAGAGGAGAGGGGGAGAAGGAGGAGGGAAAGGGAAGAGGAGAAGGAGGAGAGGGAAGATGAGAGGGAAGAGAGGAGGGGTAGAGAGGGAAGAAAGAAGGAAGGGGAATAAAGGATGAAGAAAAGTAAACAGGTAAAGAGGAGAGATGAAGAGGATGAGGAGGAATGGGAGGAGGGAGATTTAGAGGAAGGGAAGAAGGGAAGAAGCTTAAAGCCATGATGAGAGGGAAAATGGTGGAGGTAGGAAGTGGGGAGAGTGAGGAGGAAAGGGAGGAGAGGCGTGGAGTAGGAGGGAAGAAAGGAAAAGGGAATAAAGGGTTGAAGAGAGGGAAAAGGGTGGAGAGCAGAGGTGAGGAAGGTGAGGAGGAAAGAGAAAGAGGAAACGAACGAGGAGAGGGATGGAGAGATAGAGGAGAAGGGAAAAGAAGAAAGGGAAGAAGAGAGGGGAAGGTGGAAAGGAGAAGTGAGACGAACAAGGAGGAAGGGGAAGAGAGTGAGGAGGTAGGGGAAGAGGAGAGAGATGAGGAGAAAGGAAGAGGGAAGTCGGATCACAGGGAGAAAGAAAGGGAAAAGGGTGGAGAGGAAGAGTGAGGAGAATGAGGAGGAGAGGGAGAGTGAGGAGAATGAGGAGGAGAGAGAGGAGGAGCCGGGTGGAGTGGGAAAGAAGGGAAGTGGGGGGATGAAGAACAGAAGAAAGGGGGATTTGAGAGATGGGGAGAGTGAGCAGGAGAAGGAGGAGGAAATAGAGGAGGAACAGGAGGAGGAACAGGAGAGGATAGGGAGGATGCGAGGGTCAATTTGCAAGGGAAGAAGGGAAAGAGGATAAGGGGTTGAAGAAAGGAAAAAGGGTGGTGCTAATAGGTGAGGAGAGTGAGGAGGAAAAGGAAACGGAGACAGGTAAGGAGAAGGGGAAAAAGGGAAGTAGTAAGAAAGGGATGAAGAAGGGAGGAAGGTGGAAAGGAATGGGGAGAGATTGAGGAGGAAATGGAGGAGGGGATGGAGGAGGGGGAGGAGGAGGAGGAGGAGAGGGAGGGGAAGGATGGAAGGGGGGGGAAAAAAAAGAAGGAAGATAGGGGGGAAGAAATGTCAGAGGGATGGAGAGAGTGGAGGAGGGACCTGAGGAGGAACCGGAAGTGGAATTGGCTGAAGAGGTGGGAAGGAAGATAGCAAGGATAAAGGAAGAAGAAGGAAAAGGGCCAACGGAAGGCATGAGGAGGAGAAGGAGGAAGGGAGGAGGAGAAGATGGATGAAGGGGAAGAGGAAGGAAAGGAGGAAGGGGAGGAGAGGAAGGGAAGAAGGGGAGGAGGAGGAAAGGGAGGAAGGTGAGGAGGGAAAAGGAAGGAGAAGAGGATGAACGGTTGGAGGAGGCAAATGAGGAGGTGGAGGAGCATCGTGGGGCACGAGAGAGCAGAGAGAGGGAGAGAGAGGAGAGGAGAGTTTTGAGTGGACTCAAAAGTCACCTCGAAGGGGTGGAGGAGGCAAATGAGGAGGTGGAGGAGGCAAATGAGGAGGTGGAGGAGGCAAATGAGGAGGTGGAGGAGCATCCTGACGCACGGGGAGAAAGAAGGGGGAGAGAGAGGAGAGGAGAGAGGCGAGGAGGAGGCGGCGAGATAAGAGAAAGGAGGAAACGCTTATCATGGCAGCTGTGGCAGCGGCAGTGGCTGCTGCTGCTAATGCTGCTGCTGCTGCTGCTGCTGGTTTGGAGGTGCCTGTTGCTGCTCCCATTTCGTCTGGTGTAGACCCTGCCTCAGGCACACAGAAGGGGAAGGGTAAGAAGGGAAGGAAAGTTGCTCCTGAGCCTCCGCCTGAGTTTGAGGAGAAACTTACAGACGCTTCTGCTGCTGCCCCTGCTGGCACTATAGCCTCTAGCGCTTTGCTTGCGGAGCTAGGTCGTGCAGTGAAGGGCAAGAGTAAGAAGAAAAGGAAGGTGGTTTTTGAACCTGAGGTGTCAGTTCCTCCTCCTCCTGCTGCTGCTGCTGCTGCTGCTGCTGCTCCAAGTCTTCCAGACATGGAAGCCACGCCTCCTGACGCTGAAGCAACCCCGGCACCCGGAGGCAAGGGCAAGGGGAGGAAGCAGAAGAAGGTGAAGAAGGCTGCTGTTGAACCTGATGTTCCAGACTCTGCCGCTGCTGCTGCTGCTGCTGCTGGCCCGAGTCTCCATGATTCTGAAGCGATGACGTATGATTTGGAAGCTGCACCAGGAAGCTTGTCAACATCTTCACCTCGCACAGAAGAAGGTGAAGGCAAGGGCAAGGGCAAGAAGAAGGTGAAGATGTCAGTTGCTTCCCCTTCTGAAGAAGAAGAAGGGAGCAAGAAGAAGATGTCAGTTGCTGATTTTCATGCTCCCGACTCTGCCGCTGCTGCTGCCCCTGCTGCAGCTGTTGCTGCTGCTGATGATGATGATGCTGCTGCTGATGATGCTGATGGGGAAACCCTTGCTACCCTTGCACCTAAGAGCAAGGGCAAGAAGAAGAAGAGGAAGGCTGGTGATGAGCGTGAGCTTGAGAGCTCTGCTGCTGCTGTTGCCGATGCTGTCGATGCTGCCGATGCTCCAAGCCCCTCTGAAGTGGAGGTAGTTTCACAGGCACCAGAGGAGAAGGCAGAGGCAGCAGGTGATGTAGAGCTAGTTTCAGAGGCGCCTAAGAGGAAGGGCAAGAAGAATAGGAAGGTTGGTGGTGAACCCAAGCTTGAGAGCTCTGCTGCTGCTGCAGATGCTCCAAGCCTCTCTGGTGCTGCTGATGTGGAGGTATTATCAGGGGCACAGAGGATTAAGGTTAAGAAGAGGAAGAGGAGAGCTGGTGATGAGTCTGAGCTTGAAAGTTCTGCTGCTGCTGCCGCCGCCGATGCTGTCGGTGTTCCAAGCCTCTCTGATGTGGAGCTGGTTTCAGAGGGGCCAAAGAGCAAGAGCAAGAAGAAGAAGAGGAGGGAGGTCGAGGAGTTACCTGACATTTCGGATTCGCCAGATGCTGCTGCTGCTGCTGCTGCTGCTGCTGCTGCTGCTGCTGCTGCTGCTGCTGCTGCAAACCCTGATGCTCATCAGAACTGTGCCGCTGCTGATGCTGATGCTGTTGCTTCTTACACTGCTGCAAATGCTGCTGCTTCTGATGTTGATGCTGCTGCTGATGCTGCTGCTGATGCTGCTGCTGATGCTGCTGCTGATGCTGCTGCTGATGCTACTGCTGCAACTGCTGATCAGACTTGTGCTGCTGCGCCAAGTGCTGCTGTTCCAAGCCCTGCTGCTGCTTCTCCAAATTTGGCTGTTTCTGGTGGGCAGACTGGCAGCCAGACTGGCGGGCAGACTGGCGGGCAGACTGGTGGGCAGACTGGCGGGCAGACTGGCGGGCAGGATTCTCAGGGCACCATCAGTGCCCAGGGCGCTCGGCCGAAGAAGAAATCTTTCATCGACTTTGTGAGGCGGCTGAAAGTGGCAAAGGGAGGCGAGGGCATGGGGAGGGGAGGGGTGGGAGGCGAGGGCATGGGGAGGGGAGGGGTGGGGGGCGAGGGCATGGGGAGTGGGGGCGCAGAGGCTGCTTCAGATGCGGAGGGGGTTGGACATGGGGAGGATGGGGAGGAGGGTAGTGGGGGAAGAAGGGATGGGGAGGAAACGAATGGGGGGAGTGGGTTTGGAAAAGAGAAGAATGGGGAGAGGGGGGATGGCCCGGATGGGGTGGTGAAAGGAGGGAATGACTCAGTAGGCGACGGGGAGGCTTACGTGGGACAGGTAGACCTGGGGAAGGTACATCTGCAGCGAACGGCAGTGTGATGCTGCATCACAGCAGCGTACAGACCACCAAGCCTCATGCTGCTGCTCTTGGCGTTTCCGAGGCGCCTCAAACCTCGACCACCAAGCCTCATGCTGTTTTGGCCACCAAGCCTCATGCTGTTTTGGCCACCAAGCCTCGCGTTGTGGGTCGGTACTTTGCAGAAGAGGAAGAAGAGGAGGACGAGGAGGCCAGAAAGAAGGCTGAATGGGAGGCTCGGTACGAGGCGAGCATGATAGTGGATGGGGTGGATATCTCCCACCTGAGCCGCAAGGAGCGCAAGAGGATAAGGTACAAAGGCACGGCGGCGGGAGATGAGACGACAAGAGGAGATGCGGCAGCAGGAGGAGATGAAACAGCAGGAGGAGGAGAGACGGTTAGAGGAGATGCAAAAACTTGAGAGGATTGGGGGAGAAGTTGAGGTGGGGCGGCGGGATGAGATGGGTGAGACGATTTCTGAGGCGCCTCAAGAAGAGATACAGCAGCAAGAGACGATGAGGCAAGATGATGAGGTGGGGCGGCCAGATGAGGTGGCAGAGACTCTATTTGAGGCGCCTCGAGAAGAGATGCAGCAAGAAGAGAAGATGAGGCGGGATGATGAGGAGGAGGAGACGGAGGAGGTAGCTGAGACGTGCAATCTGGTTGCCAGCGAGCCAGCAGACACAGTAGCTCCTGAAGATGCTGCTGCTGTCCCGCTTGCTGCTGCTGCTCCTGCTCCTGCACCTCCTGCTCTTCCTCCTCCTGATGCTGCTGCTGCTGCTGCTGCTCCTGCTCCTGCTCCTGCTCCTGCTCCTGCTCCTGCTCCTGCTCCTGCTCCTGCTCCTGCTCCTGCTCCTGCTCCTGCTCCTGCTCCTGCTCCTGCTCCTGCTCCTGCGCCTGCTCCTCCTGCTCCTGCCTCTCCTCCTGCTCCTCCTTCTTCTCCCCCTCCTGCTTCTCCTTCCCCCCCTCCTCCATCTCCTCCTCCCCACCCTCCTCCAGCGTCCCTGTCTGCATATCTGTCATCTTTGGAGGCCGCTGCTCGTCCCACTGCTGGTTCATCTTCTGCTCCTCCTGCTCCTGCTCCTGCTCGTCCTAGTGCTGCTTCAACTCATACAGCAAACGGAGCCTTGCACACTGCCTTCCATCGTCCCCCTCCCCTCGCTGCTGCTTCTCTGGCGGTTAAGGCAGAATGGCATGCTAATCCGCATCCTGGTTCTGGTGTACCTCAAGCTGCTGCTGCTGCTGCTGCTGCTCCTCCTCCCCTTTTTCTTCATGGGTTCTCAACTGCTCCTCCACCCGCCTATGGCGCATCTCGCCACTCTATTCAGCCGCAACTCGCTTATCCGCATCACAATGCTTCTCACCCTCACCCCCCTTTTCAGCATCACCACGCTTATCAGCATCGCGCCGCTTATCAGCATCCCAACACTTACCAACAACACAGTGCGTATCATCCTTGCAACGCTTATCGGCCTCACACCTCCTCCTATCAACCTCGCCAAGCACCTCATCCTCTCAACGCTGCTCAGCCTTGGCTTGCCCGTCCTGCTCCTCCTGCTCCTCCTGCTCCTCCTGCTCCTCCTGCTCCTCCTGCTCCTGCTCCTCCTGCTCCTCCTGCTCCTCCTGCTCCTCCTGCTCCTGCTCCTGCTCCTCCTGTTCCTCCTGCTCCCGTTGCTACCACTGCTTCATACGCCGAAGGGCCTGCAGCTAGAGAGCCTACTTTTGAATATCCTGCTCCTGTGCTGAAGCTGTTTTTCGGTGAGGGCGATGAGGAGGAGTGACGCTACCATATGTGTTGCTCGACAGCACCACCAGCAGCAGCAGGGGTGGCACGGACAGTAGCAACCACTGTAGCCTAGAAGTATTGGCACTGACAGCAGCAACCACAGCAGCCCAGAATTAGTGGCAGCTACAGGGGTAGCAGCAGCTGCTAGCTGATAGAAGCAGTGGAAACTGGGTCATCCTTATGAGGTGAATTGGCTATGAGTTACGTTACATGTTTGTTCGTTGTCCCGGCCCTGTTTTTTGTTACATTACGTCCGTGGTTGGGGTCTCCCCTTTCCTCTGTCTCCTCCGAATCAATCTTTGTCGACTGCGCTTCCACCAGAGATTTGTACCGTATGTCTGTTTGTGTCCCTCGCCTCCCATGGTCCCCCACTTCTTGACTATTTTATCTGGGCTTGCAGATGGATATGTTTAGAACCCATGAAGTGTTGGTCGGTGCTGAAAAGGGGAGATGTAAAAAAAAAAAAAATGAGCACACATTCTATGCACATCAAAACCATACCTGAAACAGTGTCTGCGTGTTTATCAGATTAATTGATCACGGATATCAGTATCACCTGACTTTTGGTGGCTGGTGGAGGGAACCAAGTGATGGCCGAGTCAACCAGCAAGATTCACCGTACAGTACCGAGATGGGTCTAAAATGTAACGCATAAAACCGAAGATTTTCCAAACCCCAAATTGGCCGGTCGAGGCAAGCGGCGCAGGCTAACACGCTCAGTTTACCTCCCTCACCGACAACCTCGAGAGATTTGTCGGCGGGGCTACGGTTTCGGCGCACCTCTGACACAGCTGAGCGTGATCTCCCCGAGGAAATTCCAGTTATCCCACAACCCGATGTGCACCTCTTTTACTAAGTTTGTCACTTAGAACCTTGATCGCCCTTGAGCTTAGCAAAAACTGAGCACCCCCGCTTCTTTTCCGTCCCCTCCTTCCTGGCTTATCCTTGTTGGCTGGCGCGTGCCACATTCTTGAACCTACCCATCCCACCCTCCATGTCCCGCATCCCCCTGGCACTCGTTCGTTTTCAACATTCGTCTTCCTTTTCTCCCGATCCAACTCCCCTTCTCCGCGCCGTCCTTTTTCCCGAACCGCGCCGCACGGCTAGACCAGAAACACCAAGACCAGACTTTACTCGAAGCTTAGTAGTACGTGACGTCACGTCGGCTTGGATTATCTAGGCTAACTCGGCGTGGCTCCCGTTATTGCCCCAGCGTCCCGCTCACCGCATTTTCGAGGGGTTTTCTATGGTCTGTGGCGGGCGGGGGTGCTAATCGTCGTCGTCCCTCTTGCAATCTTTGGCTGCTTCCTGCGAAGCGCGACTTTAGAAACTCCCCAGTCTGTCGCCTCCCCGTTCTTCCCCTTCTTTCCATCACACGCCACACTCAATCCCAGTTGAACCTGATCGCAGTTCCCGGAACAAAGAAAGGAGACTCAACAGAATCGTCACAGTTTTTTTTTTCCGTTAGCAGTTAGCGATAGTACAACCATAGCGAGGCGCCTAAAGGTGATCCCTTTTTTCAAGGGCTCATAGCCGTGGTGACAGTTCTATTCGCTATTGTAGTAGCAGTGGACTGATGGCGTCGACTCTTGTTCTTAAATTCATGTAAAACGTTAGTACTACCACCTAATCGCCAAATTACCTATCTAATGAAAAGCTTCACAATGATTGCCGGATTAACACAGTAGTACTATTAATAGTAATGATGCATATCCGGCAAGATAGTAGACCCGGCATAGTAGACCCGCGAGACGCGGCGTGTTCGGCGGAGGAGATAGAGACGAAGCGCCGGATTCAGTATCATGATGATAGTAGCAGTAGGCTGGACGGCGAGCCGATTAAAGATTCGCTACCAGAGTGTATGAAGCGGCGTTGTAGTAGCCTAGTAGGGCCGGAAGGGCTTCGCGGCATAGGAAGTTGCAACGCGGCGCGGCCGCAAGAGCTTCGCGTGAAGACGCCGCCGCCAGATGCGGCGCATCCCTCAGCAGAAAGCGGGCGGTTCTCGCCTTCCGCGTCAGCAACCGTCGAGGCGCGTGACGGTTACTTCTACTGCCACCGCGGCGGGCTTTTAGGAGAAGGAACACATCTGTTAGAAGCACGGCCAACAGACGAGTTCTCGATAGAATCACATCATCAGCTAATGACGGCGTTTGAAGCGACTCGAAGGACCGATGAGGCGACGAATCGGTGCAGGCACAGAGTAGCGCGCTGCTTGTGTTCGCATCCACGTCAGCATCCACGTCAGCGTCCACGTCAGCATCCACGTCAGCAGGAGACGCGAAGCTCACACTATCACCCGCGCTCCTGTTCCCATCAGTGCGAAGACCATCGTTCCCCATCATCCCGCCCCCCCTCTCTCGCCTCCCCCTCTCCCGCCGCTTCCCCCATTCCCACCTCTCTCTCGTTCCCCTCCTCCTTTTGTCCAACTCTCTCTCACCCTGTGAGCGTGGCCTGAAGGTTCCCACGCAACAACGCTTATCTCTCAACCTCCCCTCCCTCCACCTTCCCTCCCTCCACCTCCCCTCCCTCCACCTCCCCTCCCCCACCTCCCCTCCTTCCACCTCCTCTTCCTCTTCCTCTTCCTCCTCCTCGTATCCAACTCGCTCTCACCCGTCTGCCGCCCAGCCATGGCGGCGCGCGTAACTCCATCAGTGGGGAAAGCGACTGCTCTCACGCTGCTGCCGCCCTCATGCTTCCTCTCCAGCCTGGTGGGTGGATGGGTGGGGCAGTGGGGGTGCGTGGTCGAGGCATGGGTTGGGGGGATGAGGCATGGTAGATTGGGCGGCGCGCGTAACCCCATCAGTGGGGAAAGCGGCTGCTCTCTCACGCTGCTGCCGCCCTCGACTTTTGAGAAATTCTCAAAATCCTCCCCCACCCTCCCCCCCCCCCCCCCCCCCCCCCCCCCCCCGCATCCCTCCCCCAATCCCCCCCGGCATCCCTCCCCCAACCTCCCCCCCCCCCCTTCCCCCTATCTCCCACTAGAAGCGCTCTCTCCCACTTGCACTCCGCTTCATCCCACCTAGTGTGAAGCGCGCTTCCCCCTATCTCCCACCAGAAGCGCCACCTCTCATTCGACAACAGCCTCGTCCTCGCTTCCTCCCTGTCGCCCCGCCCTGCTCGTCACTTCAAAGCGCTCTCCCCCCCGTCTCTGTGCATGTCCCTTTAAGCCCCTCCTCCCCTCTCCCCCCACCTTCCTCCACCAGAAGTGTGATTTCTCATTCAACAACAGCCTTGGCCTCGTCCCTGTCGCCCTGCTCGTCTCTATGCTCCCCAACGTGCCCTTCACGCAGGGCGTGCTGCACAGGTGCGTGTCTGTAACCCATACCCATTCCCCTTTCCCTTCCCCCTTCCCCTTTCCCTTCCCCCTTCCCCTTTCCCTTCCCCCTTCCCCTTTCCCTTCCCTTCCCCTTCCCCTTTCCCTTCCCCTTCCCTTCCCCTTCCCCTTCCCCTTCCCCTTCCCCTTCCCCTTCCCCTTCCCCTTCCCCTTCCCCTTCCCCTTCCCCATCCCCTTTCCCCTGCGCCTCGTCTCTATGCTCCCCAACGCGCCCTTCACACAAGGCGTATTGCACAGGTACGTGCTTATGCCCGTGACTGTGCTGCTACCCCATACCTGCTCGCGCCCATGCACCCTGTGCCTGTGCTTGTCCCTTCCCTGTCGCCCTGCTCGTCTCTATACTCCCCAACGCGCCCTCCACGCAGGGCGTGCTGCACAGGTGCGTGTCTGTCGCTCCCCCGTCCTGTGTCTTGTAGTATATGTCCCTGTGCTTGTCTGCCCCCCCCTCCCTTCCCTGTCGCCCTGCTCGTCTCCATGCTCCCCAACGCGCCCTTCACGCAGGGTGTGCTGAACAGGTATGTTCTGGTAACCCATACCCATTCCCCTTTCCCCTGATCCACTTGCCCTGCTCGTCTCCATGCTCCCCATCGCGCCCTTCACGCAGGGCGTATTGCACAGGTACGTGCTTGCAGCCTTCCCCCCCCCCCCCACCCCCGTCCTAGTCGCCCTCTTCGTCCCTATGCTGCCCAACGCGCCCTTTACACAAAGCGTATTGTTTTTGAGTCGACTCAAAAACAGGTCCTAGTCGCCCTCTTCGTCCCTATGCTGCCCAGCGTGCCCTTTACACAAAGCGTATTGCACAGGTGCGTGCTTACAGCCCATATGTCTGTGCCTGCGCTTGTGTCTGTGCTTGTGTCTGTGCTTGTGCTTGTGCATGTGCGTGTGCATGTGCGTGTGCATGTGCGTGTGCATATGCTTGTGCATGTGCTTATACCCCATGTCTTGTACCCCATGCCTTATACCCCATACCTTGTACCCCATGCCTTGTACCCCATGCCTTGTACCCCATGCCTTGTACCCCATGCCTTGTACCCCATGCCTTGTACCCCATACCTTGTACCCCATGCCTTGTACCCCATGCCTTGTACCCCATGCCTTGTACCCCATGCCTTGTACCCCATGTCTTGTACCCCATGCCTTGTACCCCATGTCTTGTACCCCATGCCTTATACCCCATACCTTGTACCCCATGCCTTGTACCCCATGCCTTGTACCCCATACCTGTGATTGTGCCCCTTGCTCATGCGCCTGTGCTTCACCTTCCCAATCGACTCCCCACCAGGCTTCGCAACGTGCCCTTCATGTAAGCCGTGCTATGCCCACGTGCTTGCACCCATGCCCATCTGCTTGCACCCATGCCCATCTGCTTGCACCCATGCCCATCTGCTTGCACCCATGCCCACATGCTTGCACCCATGCCCACGTGCTTGCACCCATGCCCACATGCTTGCACCCATGCCCATCTGCTTGCACCCATGCCCATCTGCTTGCACCCATGCCCATGTGCTTGCACCCATGCCCACGTTGCACCCATGCCCACGTGCTTGCACCCATGCCCACGTGCTTGCACCCATGCCCACGTGCTTGTACCCATGCCCACATGCTTGCACCCATGCCCATCTGCTTGCACCCATGCCCATGTGCTTGCACCCATGCCCACATGCTTGCACCCATGCCCACGTGCTTGCACCCATGCCCACATGCTTGCACCCATGCCCACATGCTTGCACCCATGCCCACATGCTTGCACCCATGCCCACATGCTTGCACCCATGCCCACATGCTTGCACCCATGCCCATCTGCTTGCACCCATGCCCACGTGCTTGCACCCATGCCCACGTGCTTGCACCCATGCCCACGTGCTTGCACCCATGCCCACGTGCTTGCACCCATGCCCACGTGCTTGCACCCATGCCCACGTGCTTGCACCCATGCCCACATGCTTGCACCCATGCCCATCTGCTTGCACCCATGCCCACGTGCTTGCACCCATGCCCACGTGCTTGCACCCATGCTGTAAAGGGGCGCCAGTGGTGGCAGGGATGCCGAATCCTCTTTCCCTCTCAAGCCATTAAACCCTCCCGTCCTCCTACCCCCTCCCGTCCTCCTACCCCCTCCCGTCCTCCTACCCCCTCCCGTCCTCCTACCCCCTCCCGTCCTCCTACCCCCTCCCGTCCGCCCCCTCCCACCTCCCGCCTCCTGTCCTGCCTCTCCTGTCTTCCCCGCTCTCCCAAGCAGCAGCAAAGGGGCGCCGGTGCTGGCAGGGAAGCCGAGTCCTCCCTTTCTCTCGAGCCAAAGCCGAGTCCTCTCTACTCATCAACCCCTCCCGTCACATCTTCCTCCTCCTGCTGCCCTGCCCCTCCTGCCTTCCCCACTCCCGCAAGCAGCAAGAAAGGGGCGCCAGTGCTGGCGGGGAAGCCGAGACCTCTCTGTCTCCCTGCTCATCAACCCCTCCTGTCCCTATCTTCCTCCTCCTGCCCTGCCCCTCCTGCCTTCCCCACTCCCGCAAGCAGCAAGAAAGGGGCGCCAGTGCTGGCAGGGAAGCCGAGTCCTCTCTGTCTCTCTGCTCATCAACCCCTCCTGTCCCTATCTTCCTCCTCCTGCCCTGCCCCTCCTGCCCTGCCTCTCCTGCCCTGCCCCTCCTGCCTTCCCCACTCCCGCAAGCAGCAAGAAAGGGGCGCCAGTGCTGGCGGGGACGCTGAAGCCAGAGTGCAAAGCGGTCAACTTTCTGAATGTGAGAACCGACACTCTCTCACCATTCTGTGTGCGATCACCCACCCTCACCACACAGCACCCACTTTCACCGCAGAGCACCCACCCTCACCACACAGCACCCACTCTCACTGCAGAGCACCCACCCTCACCGCAGAGCACCCACCCTCACCGCAGAGCACCCACCCTCACCGCAGAGCACCCACCCTCACCATTCTGTAGCTGAAGCCAGAGTGCGAAGCGGTCAACTTTCTCAACGTGAGGGCCTACACCATCACCACTCCATAACCACCCACTCCCTTGTTAAACTGTATTATGCTTGTAGGCTGTAGTGGGGTAGCCAATATGGGGTACAACCCCAACTAGGGTTTCATATTTGTACCCAAAACTTCTGCTAGTTCATTCATTCTTGCCTAGTTCTCTTGAAATGGTATCAGAGCAGGAGGTCCCTAGGACCTACCGACCGTTTTTTTTAAGGGCCCACCACCGCTCGCATGCGGTTACCACGCTACCCCGTGCCCTAGCCTCGTAGCGCCCTCGTGCGCCCTCGTTAGCGCCCTCGCGCGCCCCTCGTTAGCGCCCTCGCGCGCACCCTCGTTAGCGCCCTCGCGCGCCCCTCGTTAGCGCCCTCGTGCGCCCCTTGCTAGCGCCCTCGCGCGCCCCTCACTAGCGCCCTCGCGCGCCCCTTGCAGTGTCGCCCGCCCGCCGAGCCGCCCGCTCGCTGCCCGCTTCGCAGCCCGCTCGCCCCGCTGCCCGCTTCGCAGCCCGCTCGCCCCCGCTCGCTGCCCGCTTCGCGACCCGCCGAGCCGCCCGCTCGCAGCCCGCCCGCCCGCTCGCTGCCCGCTTCGCGGCCCGCCCGCTTCGCAGCCCGCTCGCTCGCTGCCCGCTTCGCGGCCCGCCCGCTTCGCAGCCCGCCCGCCCGCTCGCTGCCCGCTTCGCGGCCCGCCCGCTTCGCAGCCCGCTCGCCCCGCTGCCCGCTTCGCAGCCCGCCCGCCCGCTCGCTGCCCGCTTCGCGGCCCGCCCGCTTCGCTGCCCGCTCGCAGCGCCGCCCGCCCGCCCGCCCGCTACCTGCTTCGCAGCGTCGCCCGCCCGCTTGCTGCCCGCTCGCAGTGTCGCCCGCTCGCCCGCTGCCCGCTTCGCAGCGTCGCCCGCTCACTTGCAGCCCGCCCGCCGCACTTACCTGCCTGTGCACCGCTGCTTGCTCCTGCTGTGGCTGCTAGCTTCGCTCTAGCGCGTCCCCTCTGCTGCTGCCGCTGCTCTGCTGTGCCCTCACGCCTGAGCTATGGCCTCTATTCGCGTTCTTTCCTTCGATGCTGAGGGCCGTCCCGTGCAGTTCACTTCCTGGCTCGACGACCTGCAGTTGTATCTTATGAGCAATAGCACGGACCACATCTCCCTCTATGACTATGCGTCTGGTGCTGCCGCTGCTCCTGCTGCCACAGCCGAGCTTAGTGTTCGTTCCCACTGGCAGACTCGTGACGCAGCTGCTCGCCTAGCCATTCGCAGTCACCTGCCGCTAGCTGAGCTCGAGCATTTTGGCGACTGCAAATCCGCTAAGGCCCTGTACGATGCTGTCGTTGCTCGCTACTCCTCGCCTGCCACAGCCGAGCTTAGCCGCCTCATGCTGCCGTACCTGTTCCCCGATCTGTCCACCTTTGCTACAGTCGCCGATCTTATCACCCACCTTCGCACTAGTGATGCTCGCCTGCGTGCCGCCCTTCCCACCGAGTTCTGCGCTAAGAACCCCCCTCCACTGTACTGGACACTCCACTTCATAGTCACCCGTCTCCCTGACACCCTCAGCTCAGTTCGAGACCACTTCCTTGCTCGCTGTCCCACTGAGCTCACAGTCACCCTCCTAGAGGAGCAGCTGCTCGCGGCCGAAAAGAGCATTGTAGCTGTCGGTGCTGCTCGTGGCGCTCCTCGCACCCCCATCTTTGAGGGGTGTTCTCCCTCTCCCCTCGCTCCCTCCTACGCTGCTGCTGCTGCTGTTGACTTCCTTGGTGCTGAGTCTGTTGGCGCTGCTTCTGCTCCTGGTGGGAGGCGCCGCACCGGCAAGGGCAAGGGGGGCAAGGGTGGCGGGGGTGGCGCTGGGGGGGGAGGAGGTGGGGGAGGTGGGGGGGGAGGCGGTGCTGGAGGGAGCGGTGGCGGGAGCGCTGGTGGGAGTGGGGTCGGTGGTGGAGGCGGGGGCGGCGGAGGAAGCAGTGGCAGTAGTGGCGGCGGCGGCGGTGGCGGCGGTGGCGGTGGTGGCGGTGGTGGCGGTGGCGGTCGTAGCGGTGGTAGTGGTGGCGGCGGAGGTCGGAGTGGAGGCACTGGCTCGGGCCAGAGCTCCCAGCAGCAGCAGCGTCCCCAGACGACCCAGCAGCTTCGTGAGTGGCTTGCTCAGCGTGGGACGTCGGGGGGCAGTGGCCGCTGTTCTTATGTCATTCGCACAGGTGACCGCAAGGGACAGACGTGTGGGAGGTTCCACACCCCGTACCGCTGCTTCTCCCGCCTTGACGACGCTTGGCGTGAGGAGATGGGTGCGGATGTTGAGCGCCCCCGCTGGGCTGAGCTCATGAGGGCTGGTGTTGATGTCTTTGCTCTTGACTTTGATGCTATTATTGCTGCCATGTATGCATTGACTGTTAGTGCCGAGGGAGACTGTTACTTGTGTGTGCCGCCTGACCCAGGTATAGAGCCCGCTGCCCTGGGTACTAGTGAGTCTGCTCTCTCTGGTATGGTGCCCCCTGTACTTGCTCCCTCCAGTGCTGTCCCGGCTGTTTTCGAGTCTGCTCTCTCAGGTACAGCACCCACAGAGACTGCTCTCTCAGGTACCGCACCGGCTGAGGCCTGTCACACCTTCACCCTTGACTCAGGTGCTTCCCGTTGCTTCTTTCGTGACAGTACTGAGCTCACACCGCTTCCTGCACCGGTCCCAGTCTCCTTGGCTGACCCCTCTGGGGGCCCAGTCCTTGCCCAGTCCACCACTGTCCTCCCTTGTCCGGCGGCTCCGTCTGGCTCGTTGTCGGGTTTCCACCTCCCCTCGTTCTCGACGAACCTGGTGAGCAACGCTGTCCTCCAGGATCAGTGGGTTGACACCTTTACCCCTGGAGGACAGCGTGTGGCGATCTGCACGTGCTCCAGGACCGGCCGTCACCTGGCTACGTTTACCCGTCGGCCGGGGTCGAGTCTCTACACACTGACCACTGCGTCTCCTCAGGTCGCTGCTGTCGGTCAGGTGTCTGCGTCAGGTCTGGTAGGCCACGCCTGTGAGTGTCGTTCCCTGTCGCACCAGACTCTTCTCTGGCACCACCGCCTGGGTCACCCCTCCTTGCCACGCCTTCGTGGCATGCACCGTCGCCACCTTGTGTCTGGTCTTCCCAGGTCCCTCCCTCCCCTCCCTGCCTCGCCTGCGCCGCCTTGCCTTCCTTGCGTCGAGGGGCGGCAGCGCGCCGCTCCTCACTCCTCCTCGTTCCCCCCGACAGAGGCTCCTCTGCAGACCCTCCACCTGGACGTGTGGGGCCCAGCCCGCGTTCGTGGCCAGGGCGGTGAGCGGTACTTTTTGCTGGTTGTCGACGACTACTCGCGTTACACCACGGTCTTCCCCTTGCGCACCAAGGGTGAGGTCCCTGCTGTTCTGATCCCTTGGATCCGCACAGTTCGTCTCCAGCTCCGCCGCCGTTTCCGGACGGATCTTCCTGTCCTGCGTCTGCACTCTGACAGAGGTGGTGAGTTCTCCTCCGATCTCTTGAGGACCTTCTGTCAGGCGGAGGGCATCGAGCAGACCTTCACGCTTCCGGACTCCCCACAGCAGAATGGGGTTGCTGAGCGCCGCATTGGTCTGGTCATGGAGGTCGCTCGTACCTCCTTGGTCCACGCGGCGGCTCCCCATTTTCTGTGGCCGTTTGCTGTCCGGTACGCCGCGCATCAGCTCAACCTCTGGCCCCGTGTCTCCTTGCCGGAGACCTCGCCCACACTGCGTTGGATGGGGGAGGTTGGCGATGCGTCGCGCTTCCGGGTGTGGGGTGCTCGTGCCCTTGTCCGTGATACGTCCGCGGACAAGCTCTCCTCCCGCACACTTCCCTGTGTCTTCCTTGGCTTTGTCCCTGACGCACCTGGCTGGCAGTTTTACCACCCCACCTCGCGCCGGGTCTTCGCCTCTCAGGATGTCACCTTTGACGAGTCGGTCCCTTTTTACCGTCTCTTCCCCTACCGCACTGCCCCCCTCCCTCCCCCGCCGCTTTTCCTTGCTCCTGGTCCCCCTCCGGTAGACCCCCTTCCCCCTCAGGGTCCTGCTCCTTCAGGTGTCTCTCAGGTAGACCCTCCTCCCGTCGCTGAGCCTGTCGAGGTCACAGGTGACTCAGGTGCTGCTGCAGGTGGTACTACTGGGAGTGCTGAGCCTGGGGGTGCTGAGCCTGCGGGTGCTGGGCCTGGGAGTGCTGGGACTGCGGGTGCTGGAGCTGGGGGTGCTGAGCCTGGGGGTGCTGCGCCTGGGGGTGCTGAGACTGGGGGTGCTGAGCCTGCGTGTGCGGAGTCTGGGGGTGCTGAGTCTGGGGGTGCTGCGCCTGCGGGTACTGAGCCTGGGGGTGCTGCTGCTGTGTCTGGGGGTGCTCCGGTTCGGGGTGCTGAGCAGTCTCTCACACCGCAGCAGCTTCGTGACTGGTACGTCAGGCGCTTTCGCCGTCCTCGTGCCTCGACTGGAGTTGGGGGTGCTGGAGCTGCTCGTCCTGGGGGTGCTCGTACTGGGGGTACTGGAGCTGCCGGGACTGGTCGTTCTGGGAGCACTACGACTGGAGCTGCTGGAGCTGGGGCCTCTGGAGCTGGCGGTACTAGTGGAGTTGGAGCTGCCGACTCTGGGGGTGCTCTTCCTAGCGGTGCTGCGGACCCTGGGGGTGGTGCTGCTGCTGGTGCTGCGGACCCACCTGGTGGAGCTGCTGCTGGAGCTGAGGACCCGAGCGGTGGCGCTGCTGCTGGTGCTGGGGACCCGGACGTTGGAGCTCCTGCTGGTGCTGAGGACCCGGCCGCTGGAGTCTCTTCTGCTTCTGGAGACGCTGCGCGGCCGCGGCCGTACTTCGTACCGCTCCTTCAGCAGGTTCTTGGGCAGGCTCCTCCTCCTTGTCCTCCTCCCTCCGTAGGGTGTCTCCCGCCTGTCCAGCCGCAGTCACAGTTACCGCCTACCTCACCTCTCCCTGCTCCCTCTCCTTACACTGGTCCCACAGGAGGTCTTACAGAGCGTCGTGAGCCTGAGTCTCGCCCTGCGTCGCCTGTTCGCACTGCTCGCACT